CCTGCCCATACTGCCAGAAGCACCAAACCTGGTTTGATGCCCATGCCATCACAGTGCTTGACTGGCCAGCCAACTCACTGGACCTAAACCCCATTGAGAATCTATGGGGTATTATCAAGAGGAAAATGAGGGGCACCAGACCCAAAAACAAAGAGCTGACAGCAAGCATCAAGGAAATCTGGGCTTCCATAAGCATCAGGCAATGCCACAGGCTGATTGCCTCAATGCCACGTCGCATCGAGGCAGTGATTAAGGCAAAGGGATTCCAAACCAACTATTGAAGATTGGCATATCATTTTGAAAGTACCATATTTTGATTGATTTGATGTGATCCTATTTTTTTTCTGCAAAAACTGAGACGTAAATGGTGATTTCTTCACAGTATTCTAATTTTTTGAATTCCTGTTTTCGTGGGTTTTATGAGCTGGAAACCCAAATTGTGTAAAAATTAACAAATAAATACTTGAAATTGTTTAAATTGTGGGACCTGAATCTATAATCTATGAAAGTTTAACTTTTTGAATGGAATTATGGAAATTAAACAACTTTTCCATGATATTCTAATTTTTTGGAAAGGGTCTGTATATATAGAGAGAGGCACAGTTAAGAGCTCAACTTGTTCATCATCATTAAAAAAAAAAAAAGTTTTTGTTCAAATGTTTTGTTCATCCAGTTATAAAGCCAGACATTTATATAGTGGTGATTTAAAGTGATTGAGAAAAAAATAAATGGAAACAAAAGATAATTCATGAAAAAATGGAAACTATTAGTTATAAAACACATGACAATAAATGACCCGTAATAAAAGCGACAAATAGATCTGATGCTAATAAATTTTACAGAACTACATAAAAACACAGTCATCAAGCTGAAAAGGTCAAACATTTACTATACAGTCAGATGTGTTCATAGCCTCCCATTAAAGGACAACAGCTTCAGTCACTGAAATAAACTGACAAATAAAAATCTAATGAACATCATGACGTTGGTTTTGAATTGTGGTTCAACAGAAATATTATAAAAACAAAATAACCAGCCTGATGGACCCGTGAACTACTATCTAGCTGAACAACCCTCTGAGCCAATCCCTGCCATCAGGTGTTTCTGTAACTCTCAGTCAGACTTGTGCACCTGTTGACAGGTATTCTGGACCACTGCTCATCAGCAAAGGCCTCTCATTGGTCCGGGACAGTTTTTTTTTTTTTTTAAATGATTCTTTTCAGCCACAATTCAAAAGCAACGTCTTATTACACAGAAATTATAATTTCGCAATTTTTTATTTATTATTACGTTTTTCAGTTTCTAGTTATTTCAGTGACTGTTGTGAGTTTAGCCTTTTCTTTAATGGACGGGGATGAATATGTTATACATAAATAAATAATAACATGACGTCATTTGTTAGACTGGATTTCTCAGGTAGTTTCTGAGCCCGCTGATCACCTGTATACATGATGAGCTTGTTGTGGCTCCACCGGGCAGCGGGTCGACCCAGCGGGATGTTTACTCGGCTGCGTGCGGACGTCACAGCGTATACATGGTATCCCGGCATGCAGCAGGAGGCCGTTGAGAGATCCAGCAGCTGGTAGTGAGTTGCCAGAGCGCCGAGCAGGCAGCAGCTAACGGTCAACACGGCAGCCTCAGTCCCACTCCATGTGAGATAAAGCGAGCCGTCTGCCGTACAGGGGACAGAAAATATGATGTTCGGACGCCGAAGCGGCTTCTGATCCATCATTGTCACCCGGTTTTCATTTTGGAGGATTCCTCCCTCCATCCTCCGGATCGCACCGAACAGGCAATGACAACGGTCTCAGCAACCCCGCAGCAGATGAGGGACCGGCTGCTGCAGGCCATCGACAGTCAGAGCAATGTGAGTACAGCTACAGCTAGCAGGCTACCTAAGCTAACGTTAGCTTGTTTACGTGCACTCCGGCGAAGTCGACGTGGTGATTCACCAAACAGCTGCCAGTTAACTGTTTTATTGTGTTTTTTTAAATGTGTATTCTACGTTTTGTGTTGGCACCGACGTGTCGAGCGTCCCGGGGAGGCAGAGAGACGCGGGGCTCTGGGGTTGACAGCTTGTTAGCTACATTAGCATTAGCGTCGCCTCCCATACACAGTAATCTGGCGTTAAGGCTAGCTAGTTGATGTAGCATGCTAGCTGCTAACTTGGCCGTTACACCAAAGCGGTTTAGTTTCTTCAACAGTATGAAGGGAGATAATCCACACACAGTCCTGGAAAACACTTATTCACTAATAAATACTGTGTACGTCCCACCAGGCCACCGGGGTTTCGCGGTAGACCGTTTGAAGTTAGTACTTCTATGATAACAAAGTACGTGAGCTACCGTGCTAACTCCTAGCTTGAGTAGCTAAAGCTACGTTTTAGGAAATGGTCGGACCCTTCCTTCTCAAGTTAGTTAAATGCTAGCGGTAGCCAGATCAGCTAGCACAGGTAGGACCACCGATACTCAGGCGTTGATGGACTTTGTCGACAGGGTGAGAAACTCCAGCAAAGTTTATAGTTTCAGCCCCCGGGTTTAGTCCACATGCTACACGTCTGTCGAAGCGTCTGCAGGGATGAAGCTTTCTGAGGTGACTCTTTGCCATCTTTACTGGTTCTGAAGCAGACAGACGAGCTAACGTCTCTCAGGCTAACTTGTGAGCTAACTTGCTGACTTCCACACGTTGCAGGCACGATTCAGTCGATGTGAGTTTGTCTGTTTGTGGCAGCATCAGTTTAGGGGACCTGGTTCATCATCAGTCACTGGCACTGCTTTCTACAGTACATCAGCAGTGTTCATATAATCCTCGTTCTCTGAAGGACTCCTGCTGTTATTGCTCCTGGTAGTAGTTTTCAGGCCAGTACTAATGGTTTGCTCTGTGTGGAGGTTGTGTTGTCCTCATTGTGTTTATCCTCTTTGCAGATATGCAACATGGTGGCTGTGTTGGAAGTAATCACCTGTCTGGAGAAGTATCCTATCACCAAAGAAGCACTTGAGGTAAGGCTGCTGTCTGTGCACTGCTGACTGCTTCACCTGGAAGTCGTGCTGCTGGTTCTGTTTCTAACTCTCGCTCGTATGATCTACGTAGGAAACCCGACTAGGAAAACTGATCAATGATGTGAGGAAGAAGACCAAGGATGAAGACCTTGCAAAGCGTGCTAAAAAGCTCTTGAAGAACTGGCGAAAGCTGATTGAACCCGGGCCGGCAGTGGCTGCGAGCGCCCCTGGGTCCACCAACGGCAGTTCACACCCCTGCAGAACAGAGGCGTCTCCTCCTGACATCTCGCTGCCAGGCAAAGGCGTCCCCGAGGTCAAAATCAGAAACGATGTTCACAACACATACTCGCCAAAAGCGGAGAAGTCAAGCAGCCGCAAGCGCCGGGCGGAGCACAGGGACGGTGGCGTGCACTTACCAGAGAAGATCTCCAAGATGTCCTCATTTGATAACTCTGTTTCACCACCGCCCACCAACGGGATCGCCGGCAGTCCAGACGCGCTGCCGGACCAGGAGGTGGTCCCGTCTCCTGACAGATCTCGACTAGAGCACCTTGATAATGATAAAATCAACAGAATTCCGGTCAACGCTGTCAAGCCTCGCCCCAGCTCTCCCGGGGTTGCCAAACTACCTAGCACTTCCTCTTTGATCAAAGTGGCTGTGATGCAACAGCAGGCCAGACTGGACGAAGGCGGAGGGGGCTGCTATCAAGCCAAAAGTCCCCGCGGCCTCACCACCAGTCCCAGGAGCATGAAGCAGGACACAGTGACCAAGCGCTCTTCAGCATATGCACCGAAAGGAACTCCAGTCCCGAGCCCCTCCTCCAGAGACTCTCCCGTGTTGTTCTCCCAGCCCGTGTCCTCCCCAAGCCAAGCCTCGTACGCTGACAAGCTGCCACATTCTTCTCATAGGTCTTCAATGCACTGGGCCACTTCGTCAGAAGTCCCGTCTCATTGCCCACCGCCAGACATCTCTGCAACACTGGAATCCCTGTCTGTCTCCCCGTCCCCCTCTCTCCCCCCACAGAACTCAGACCTCCACAGACCGGCGTCGGAGGGAGCCATGGCGATGTCTGATGACGCAGACGGGCCAGCCGTGTCCAACTCGGAGCATAAAAGGAGGAAGTACAGGTCTAGAGACTACTCTGTCAACTTAGATGGCCAGAAAATAGAGGACACGACGAAGCCTGTACGCTTAAAAGAACGCAGGCTAACGTTTGACCCGGTCACTGGTCAGATCAAACCTCTGGTGCATAAAGAACATTCTCAGACAGAGGAAGCTCCCACTCCTGACCCCTCCGAGTCCAGGCAAAGAACTGAAAGCACTGTACATCGGCCCGCTCTCCCTACCCCGGCCCCAATCATAGCCCCAGCCCCGGTCCCGCCCTTAAACCCAACCCTAAACCCGACCCCAGGTCCCAGTCCCAACCCCTTCCACCAAACCAATTGGAAGGAGCTGTCTAGAAATGAAATCATCCAGTCCTACTTGAACCTTCAGAGCAATGTGCTCACCTCCTCAGGGGTCCAGGCCCCGAGTGCACACTTTTTCATGTCAGAGTATCTGAAAAGGGAAGAGCAGGAGATTAAGGAGTCAAGGAAGACACACGTTCTGCAGACAGACAGCCCGACAGGGGATTTAGCGGGCGTGAGCCGGGAGGTGACAGGCGAGGACCTGGACAGGATGCACACACAGCACTGGGCGGGGGTGAACGGGTGTTTCGACACCAAGGGGACCTGGTATGATTGGACAGAGTGCATATCGCTGGACCCTCACGGTGATGAGAGCAAATTGAACATCCTGCCATACGTTTGCCTAGACTGAGGGTTGGGAAGGTGGTCCTTTTCCACTCCTTTCTTTCGTCTCCCCACAGAGACGAGAGTTTTTTGTGATTTTGTTTGTCCACTGTGAGTTTGGCGAGAACCAGGCCTGCTAAACTCCCCTAGCCACGCCTCTTCCATTTTCTGTGATAATCAATTCAGATTTTGGTATAAAAAGCATAAATATTAAAAGAGTAGTTGAGTTTGTAATATCAAGGGCTGTTTCTGTTTTATTTTTCAAACTGAAAGCCACAGGAATGATGAGGCCCATGTTGCAGAGTACTGCTGCTATCACAGAGGCAGGAGAGGCGGCGTTGCCCCAGACAGCCTGGAGCGGTCCGACAGCGTGGATGCTTCATGATCTGTGTTGTAGCCCCGCTTCAGGTGCACTGGGCTGACACTGGTTTCCTCTTTACCTTCTGCTTTCTACAGTCTAGGGGAGGCTGGGGTTTAGCGGTCCTGTCCAGACCACCATGTTGGTGCCCAGGAGAGGTGTCGGTAGAGTTCATCTAGCACAGTTAGAGCTGAACGTGTCCAGACTATGAAATACTGGAGCATATTTAGCAGTTACAAGAAGCTTTATGTGAGATATAAAGAGTAAATTATAAATTTCTTATCCTGTATACATCTATTTATTTTGACCTGTTCATTTATGGGATGATCATCAGAACAGATGGTCAACAAAACTTTGGATTCTTTTTTTTTTTTAAATTTTCCCCCTCTGTGTTTGCATCACGATGTTGTCAGCCTGATCTTCACTGTTAAGAGGGCACTCAGATGTCCGCGTGGTCCGTCTCTAGGATTGGCCAATGCACTTGGTTCTTAACATTCCAGACTCCACCCTTCACCCACTTTCTCCATCTCCTCGTATGGCTCCTGAATGCCCACGCCGTCTCACGTTCTGAAAGTTCACTTGGTTTCACATGGTTCCATCCCAGTAGCGTGGTGCTGCTAATGTTAGCGACGGAACATCTGTCAGCAGCTGTTTGTCCTCCCAGCAGACGGTCACATCAGATGGTGTTCATCAGTCACTGCGTTTGAGGGACTCAAGCCAGGACGTGTTTTAATGCTGGAACTCACTTTGTTTCCATTCCTTCACATATTGTTTGCCTTCTAACGTTCTTTGACAGTATTTCTCTGAGTTGAGCAGCCTTAGTGAATGTACAGGACGGTGACCTCTTATGCACTTGTACATAAGTTGACAACGTATTGGTCGTTTCAGCACTGACGGGTCAGCCACATTACGCGCCCAGAGTTTATTTAAACACATTTCAGGTTGGTAAAGCTGCTTTCAGGAGTTTAGAACACGTTTAGGATGAAGTAACGTTCCTTTTGCTTCCATCTTTGAGTTCAGTAAACATAAAAAGGTGATTTAAAAAGAAAAAAAAAAAAAGAAAGCTTGGGCATCTTGGCATTTTCCTCGTGACAACCAACTAATACTTCAGTTTGTTTTCCTCCCATACTGCTCATCGGTCACTACCGTGTTCCTCACATGATCTGAACTGAGACTGGCTCATGTGCAGCCTCTCTGGCCGTCCGTTCAGTCATCCCCACCAATGTGCCTTGCTAAATGGTAAACCTGGATTTGCTTCTGCACTAAACGCGCCCGTCTGGAGCCGAGTTGACGTGCGAGAATCCCAAATCCTTCAATGGATATGACGCTGGTATATGCACCGTTTTCTGTTGACTCTTTTTGTACACGTGGACGGAGGAGGGTGAAGCTGCAGATGATGAGAAGCTGCACAAACACAACAGAGCTGGCAATAAAGGAAAAGTGCTACAACTGGTTGATAAGAATCTGTTTTTCTGGAGTTTTGACTGGGGCATCTTTATTTGTTCAGTGTTTAACATCTCTCAATTGTTTGAAAAATAAAATGATCTAAATCTTCAGCCCGGTCGACTGACGCGTGGGTCTTTTGCAGATACATGTCACCACTGAGGTCGCTCTGAGCTTGTGCTGCAGGTGTCTCGGTGGTTAGCATCGTTGCCTCACAGCTAGAAGGTCGCCGGGTGGCGTCCCGGTGAGGACACCCGGGATCTTCCTGCGTGGAGTCTCCATGTTCTCCCCGTGCAGCGTGGGTTCTCTCCGGGTTCTCCGGCTTCCTCCCACAGTCCAAAAACATGCTGAGGTTAATTGGTGATTCTAAATTGTCCATAGGTGTGAATGTGAGTGTGCTTGGTTGTCTGTCTCTAAGTGTAGCCCTGTGATAGACTGGTTACCTGTCCAAGTGAACCTGCCTTCACCCTGAGTCAGCTGGGATAGACTCCAGCCCCCCATGACCCTAGTGAGGATTAAGCAGTATATAGATGATGGATGGATGGATGTTTGGAGCTTCACCCTGGAAGTGGAATCATGTTGCTGTACTTACCCAGTGTGTCCATGGGGGGGCGCACATCGTCCACTCGCCTCCTTTGTTTGCATCAGCGTGTGATGTAAGAGTTGGAGGCTCAGAGTAATTTCAGTCCAGCAGGAGTTAATTGATCAGACGTATCATTTTTATAGACCCATAAAATATTATGAGGATCTGTTTTTAAAGGAGCCGGTTCGCGTCCTGGTGGGGGTACCGGAATCTTTCTGCGTGGAGTTTGCATGTTCTCCCCATGCAGCGTGGGTTCTCTCCGGGTTCTCCGGCTTCCTCCCACAGTCCAAAAACATGCTGAGGTTAATTGGTGATTCTAAATTGTCCATAGGTGTGAATGTGAGTGTGCTTGGTTGTCTGTCTCTAAGTGTAGCCTTGTGATAGACTGGTTGCCTGTCCAGAGTGTCCCCTGCCTTCGCCTTAAGTCAGCTGGGATAGATTCCCGCGACCCTAGTGAGGATTAAGTGGTGTATAGATAATGGATAGATAATGGATGGATGTTTTTAAAGGACAAGCACAGATCTGAGTCTCTCATGTGTGAACATCCAAACATGGCATCAGAAGTGAAGTGTGATCAGATTGCACCTGGGTTACTCCACATCTGATCGAGGCCACGGCGACGTCACTGCCTGCGTGATTCACTGAGATAACTGCATCACTGATATGGGGGTGAGTCACGGTCCGTCCCTCGGCTGTAATCGCCCCCCAGACTCTGAATCAGGCCTCTGCACACCTGCATGACGTCACCACCTGCCTCAGACCCAGGACGACAGCAGCTGTGTTCAGGACCAGACAGGAGCTCAGCCTCTGATACACCTGGGCTGAGCTCATCCATAGTCTGCCAGGTTCTGACTTGTTCAGTGGGCGTGTATCGTGAAGAGTACGGCGCTAAGTGAAGCTAAAGGTGTGTTGATTCACTGAAAACTGCTTTTTAAAGCCAAAGAACACAATAATCTCATCTGAGAATCTGAGTTTAAGCTTAAATGGATGATCCAAAACGCTCTGAATCAATAAACGGACCTGTTGTTTCATCACTAACTGAACAGAACTTTGCCAAACATGCAGCTGTGAGTCCTTTGAGCTGATTCTGTGTTTTTGTTGCTGGGATCTTGTCAGTCAGAACTTTCTAACTTCACACATCTGTGCTCATAATGACAACAACACAACCGGGTTTACGGTGGAAGGCCTGAACCTCAGCCTGCAGGTCGACTGTCCACAGCTGGTTCACTGCTGATCCGATGTGTCACACTGAGCTCACCTCAGTAGGAACAGTCGGTGATGTCATGTTCATCGGGTTCGTCAATCAATACTCTGATCAACGATACCGTCCAGGCTGAGTGATGACACAGACGCCCCCTCACTGATGAAAAGTTCTCTCTGCATGAGCACAACTCTGAGCTACCTGTACTTGAGTATTTCCATTTTCTTTATATTTCAGAGGCAGATGTTGTACTTTTCACTCCACCAGACTTCTCTGATAACTTCAGTGAGCTCGCAGATTAATTTATATGAAATCTAATCAACACATAAATGGTTCTGAATGGTTCTTGAACTGTAGATTAATTCAGCAGCTATGAAGCAGCTTCATCACCTGAAACAGCTTCAGAGTTAAAGTGAAGAACTCATTACAGCTCGAATGGTTCTGATCCAATCATCTGATGAACTCTCTAAACACGAAACACAATAAATAATCATTCTTATTGAGTTCTAACAACTTCTAATGAAGTTATGTTTGACCATCTAACAGTTTTTAATTCAGTCCATTCTACGTTAAAAGGCTGATTTCACAGCAACAGGCTACATAAACACGTTTTTATTGTTTTTAAATGATCGACCTTCGTTAATCTACAGTTAATTTCGTGTTGAATCACTAAATACTTTCAGTTTAACCCAGTCCAGGACTTCCATACGTAGAAGGTCTTTCCAGAAAGAATATGTATATGTTGGTGTTCATTACAGACTTTGTATTATGTTAAATAAATATTCTGATAAGTTTTTTGGTTCCAAATACACGACACATGTCCCTCTTCTTATATTAAAAAAAGCAAAATCTTTAAACATAAAAGGACACCTGTCACCTGAACCAGCAGTCCTGAACAGGGCTAGACCACACCGGATATGAAGTGGATGGAGTTCCTCATTAAAACAACGATTAATAGGATTACCTGAATCAGTTTCTACGTTTGATTTTATGTTTTAAATCTTGGAAGCAGCATCAAATAAAGGAAAGTGGTGCTAACAGATCCCTTTAGAGTGCACATGATTCATGTCAAGCTGATGCTTTTGTGCTTTTACTTTTGTGACTACTCTACCTCCTCTCAGAGTACTCCTACACTGTGGTACTTCTACTCCAGTACTAGGTATGGAGTATGTCTTCACTCCCATCCTACAGTCTGAACGTTAAAGCTGCTCTGATGAGACAGATTCAGTCGTTTAACGGGGAAGCTTGTGCTTTACATGAACAGCCAGATGAGCCCATTTATGGGAAGCAGAGGAGGAAAAGTCCCTGTGACTGGAGCAGAAAGCCCCTCTGGTCCCTACAGCTCTGCTAATCCGGCATTGTGGCGCTAAAGTGTGAAGCTCTGCGCTCTTTACGCTCACATTGCACAACATTCCTTACGCTGTTATCGCACAGCCGCATTACGTCACCGCAGCAGCACTTTATCCGCTCTCCAAACTTTTATTTTTTTCCTTCTTCTCTCCACCGTGACTCAAAACAGTGCGACGAGCCGTCTGGGCCGCCGCGGCTCTGGTATGCAGGGTGGGCCCGGAGGACGGCTCCCTCCCACCGCCAGGAATTTGGGAAGTTTCCTTCCATATAAGGACTTTTTGATATAAATCGCGACCTGCGGGAGAGAAGCGGGAAGGTGGAGCCTGGGATGGATGAACGGAGCCGGGAGCCCAAGAGGACGCAGGCCGACCAAGAGCAAGCCTGCCTGTGCTTCCGCTGTGGTTCAGATGAGCGCAGGAGGAAGCTGCTGTGTGTGCAGACCTGTAAAGTCTGCTTTATGGGCTGTCTGCTGCAGGTTAACGGGACGTTTTATCATCAGAACAGCGTCTGGCTTATTTTAACAGCAACCAGAAAAACACGTGAACAGGCGACATTTCTGCTTCTTGCATGCACACTGCTGCCTTCTTTAACTGGATGATGTGGATGGAAGACTTTAAGATGATTTGTTGGGCTTTATTAACCCAACCTGTGTAACTTTCTGAGCAGATCATCTCAGCGGCTGCCCAACAGGGTTTCCTCTGAGCTCAGTAGATCGGCCTGCTTCATGGAAACACACTCCAGCATCATGAGTGTGTCCCCCTGCAGAGTTTGGAGCTCTGATCAGAAGATACGGAGCTGAATAGTGCTGCTGCTGCTATTCCTGCAGCTAACTTAATCCCCTGGTTGTTTTAACGTGCTTCATTTGTTCCATATGCCAACTGTTGCATGGTTTTATAATTCCATGTACCTTCATAACCAGGCCAGGCTTCCCTTGAAATAGAAATGTTGATCTCAAGGCACTTCCTGGTCAAATGAGGGGTCCTGGTGGCTGCACAGACCAACATGAAGCTCACTCACTGTCCGGGACCTCAGCCACAGTTATGTTGCTTTATTTTTAAGATCAAGATCCTGATAGGATGAATTTAATTAAACAAAGGTATGATAAACTTTTTCAGAGAAGGATGGATCAGCTTCCCAAAGTAAATCCTTACACGCTGTAAAGATGCACATTTAAAGCACCACATACCTGTGTACAAGAACGCAGCCGTCGTTTCAGACATTCTGAGCTTACGACACCTTAAAGTGGTTTTATTTGCCCTGAGCTTCGATTCTCAGCTGACTGGTCCGTTTGTTGCACGAGTACCACCAGTGCAGCCGCCACACTTGAGGCACCCTGGCGTGCCAACAACACGTGCAGAAGAACACCAGTTACATCATTTTCACCTCCTGGACGACCACATCCCACCTACAGCTCCCAGACTGCGTCTTCTGTCTGAAGTGCAGCTCATGTGCTGATATTTTAATTATGCAGTCATCTGCTTCGTCTGGTCTCAGTGGCTTTTATTGTTTAAGATGAAGGGGCTCACGGTGCCAAAAATATAATTATCAAGAAAGAAATGCATTTAAAAAATCATTTATTGAGTCTAAAATTAATAAATGAATCGATCAGACCTGTCTATATTCACAAAGTGTAGAAGGTATCCCAGTGAATTTTGCTAAAAATAAACAAAAAAAGACCAAAAAAACCCTCATTTGAAGCAGGTTGTATGACCACATGTGAGTCACAGGGATGTAGACCAACACATGTTCAGAGAGGAGCCACTGAGGTGCCAGACATGGATCTCAGTCCATCAGAGCCGAGCTGCTCCAAGTGGTTGGACGAGCGTTAAAGGACAGATTCAACTGAAATAGTGCAGCTTTACAAATGCTATAAAGTGGCTGCAGCTCTGACACGGTGACTGAAATGTTATCATTACATCAAGATGAGTTCATTCATTCAATTTAAAGATCACAGCTCAGAGGAGGGTCAGAAACGAGACCATTTCTTTATAGAAATCACGTCAGTTTCAGTCTGAATCAGGACGTTAGACACCAAACACAATAAAAACACCGTCTGGCCTCTGATCTGTCTGAGCATCAGGCCTGATCAACTGTAAACTCAAAACTTTTATTGTTTTTCTTATTCATTCAGTTAAAGTTTCACAAAAACACACATTTGCCATCAGCACAGACAAACTGGAAAAAAACAGCTTTAAGATTAATTTAACAAACTGTGTGTGTTTTTTTGTATATGTTTAATTGCCAGCAGTATTTCCTCCAGTATATTGTTTTAACGAGTCCTGCTTCATTCATTACTAGTTATGTTGGTCTATTATCCAACTCAGGCCAGTGTGTTGCTGTTTTTTATTTGTTTTGTTATACTTCTGATCATTTAAACCTGTTTTATCTGAAATGTAAGAATGTGTGTCTGTTATATGAATGTATGACTTTATGATAATTCCATTGAGCTGATTTATTTCAGGCTTTAATGGTTTGAGCAGGTTTAGATCCACAAGTGGGACGTTTACAACCTGCAGATGTGCTGAATATTCATGAAGAACGGTGGTACTTTCTTATTTATTCCGTTGAAGTTTCACAAAAGCACTCATCTGGCATCAGCGCTGACCTGAAGTTGGACAGTTTAAAGCAGCTGCAAACAAACTGGAAAATACAGCTTAAACATTACACCAACAAACGTGCTGAATTATGTAAAGTGGCCCTTCACAGCCTGCAGGTGTGCTGAATATTCATGAAGGACGCTGGTGTCCTCCTCCTCCTCTTCCTCCTATAAGAGGCGGCGGGGCGGCAGCAGGGAACCATCTTGGCTCCGGACTCGGCACTCTTCGGCAAACATCGTGGCAGCGCTCTAATTGGCGGCCGTAACAGAGAAAGGAAGTATTTATTCCGCTCCGAGGTCTCATTGGAAGAGAAAGTCGAAGATAATTTAGCGTAGTTTTAATTCGCGAGTCGGCTGTCCTTCTGCTCGTCTTCTTCAGCTAAATATTAAACTCTGAACCGGGTGACCATGTCCTTCAACAGAGGTCCAGCTTACGGATTATCCGCGGAGGTCAAAAACAAGGTTCGTATTTTTATTTTTATTTTTTTATAAATTATTATTATTCTTTTATATGAAATCCTATAAAGTTCAGAACTTTTCCTGCCTCCGTGCTGAGTGTGGAAGTCACCTGGCGTCCATTTTGACAAGCGTTCAAAGTTATTAGTAAAAAAGAAAAGCGCCAGTAGAGGATTGGATGAGTGTGTTTAAGGCTAAACTAAAGTGAAGAACTCTGAGTGTGTGTGAATAATGTGCAGAGTGTGTGTTCATGCTGGAGATGTCTGAGCTGCCTTCCTTTTCTTGAAGTCCTCTGAGCAGAGCCGGGCTGGGCGTTGTCCCTCTCTGGCACAGCAGCGTGTCGTTGTGGCAAAACTTTTTTCTTTTTTTTTGTTATCCCGTTTCCAGCAGCTCTCCTCCTGCTGACTGCTGCTCGGTGTGACCCGCATTAGCTCATAATGTGATTCACCCATTAGCCCCTGAGTTGGTGCCATTCTGCTGATTTCTGCCTTTACCTCCCTCCTCCTCGTCCTCCTCCTGCTGCTGTTCAGGGTTTTAAGTTCTCCTCCATGTCAGTGAATCAGTGCAGGACGTCCACCCAGCAGGCTTTCTGTACCATCAGCTCCACATTCCTCAGGGAGCCTCTCTGTTAATGTTTACCTGCTTTGGTCTGCACATCCTGGTCCACTTACAGCACCAGGACCGATGCCACAGATTGATCTCCTCACAGCCCTGGACCTTCAGCTCTGACCATTCAGCCGTTGCTATCTCACCTGATTGCTATCTCGCTCATCTTGTTTGTTTTTTTTTTTTTTTAAACAGCCTGGTTCCTGTTTCTCATGAAAGAGGAACTCAGTGAAGACATGCTTTTATCAGAGCTTCCCTCAGTCAGCTGATTTCTGTTTTGCCACCTGGTGCCCGTGTGCGGTGGAGAAAGGTCTCGTCTCCTCCTCACACCTCAGAGGAACAACGTGTGCCTGCTGTTAAGGAACGCATGCAGACTCCCTGTGTCTGCTGCCGGTCACGTCCTTGAGGAGATGCTCAGTTCGGGGGTATTTCCTGCCCTCGGAGCCCCCTCTCTACCCCTCACCTACACCCTCACCTTTACCTCTCACCTACAGCTCCTGAATGTAGAAACCTGTGTCCCGGCTGGTATGGCAGACCCTGACCTCTGTAGAGCATTGACGGTTTATTCATAGGACCCCCCCCCAGGCCTCCCCGTCTCATTTAGTTTCTTTATCCGACCACTGTGGGGTAAATTCCTTCAGTTCAGCTTGTCATCGTAAATGAAGTCTGTAGGATTCTTTGTGGGCAATTAAAATAGCCGGCGTTGTTTCTAATGTGTAGATGACTAAATGAAGAGGACGTAATTAGTAGACATTCCTCCAGAGTGCAGCCAGCTGTGCTCCTGTGTTCGTCTCAGGCTGCTCTGCGCTCGGGTTTCTCGTCGCCCTCGGGACAGAGACACATTGTTGGCTGGATCTGAGTCTGCACGCAGCTCATTCAACACCTTGTCCTTCACCGGAGGAGAAGAAATGTTTGCCTGTTTCTCTTTCGGTCACTTTGCTCTCGGTTCTGGTTTCCAGTTTCTTCCCACAACAGGCCTAACTGCTGTTTACGTGACCAGAACTCTCTTCCTGAATGGCCTCTCTCAGAGCCAGCAGAGCACGTTTCTCAGACTCGATCGCAGAAGCTTATAAATCAGAGCAACACCTCCACAGTCACTAGAAAGTTGGCCTTTGTGCCATGCTAAGCCTCTTAAAACGCACCCCTCCCTCCCTTCTTCTTCAGCAGCCGCCTTCCTGTGCTTCTGGGGAGAATTTAGCAGTTTACCAAACAGGATGTCCGTGCTCGTGCGCGTGCATGTGTGTGTCTTAGGTCATGTTGATGTCACCTTCTTTTATTTATGAGCACAGAATAAGACAGAACTGGCTCTGTAGACACAGCGGCTGCACCGTGGCAAAACTGAAGATGAGCGTGTGCAGTCATAATTAACCTTGGAAGACAAATCGACTCGGTGTTTGATTATCAGCATCGAGGAGAAACCCTCCTGTCTGATGTGTGTTTGAGTGGGACACACCTCGTTTCATCTTCCATCCATGAAGTGCTTTAATAGCTCGGTATGAATGTACTTCCTGTTTAAAAAGCCACCAACACATGTGACCCTTGACCTCTGCTGTTGTTTTTTTTTTTTACACCAGATTGCTCAGAAGTACGACGCTCAGAAGGAGGAGGAGCTCAGGATCTGGATCGAAGACATCACCGGCTGCTCCATCGGCCCCGACTTCCAGAAAGGCCTGAAGAATGGCGTCATCCTGTGCGAGTAAGCAGAGACCAATCAGAGGAGTGTCCATCGTCTGCTCTCAATACGGGCAGCCATTTGGAAACTTAAATTTTTCTCTTTTCTGTCACAGTCTCATCAACAAACTTCAACCAGGATCCGTGAAGAAGGTGAACCAGTCGCAGCTGAACTGGCATCAGGTGAGCCGATGACAACCAGCTGAGGCGTCTTTCTCCAGAAGCTGTTGGTTCACGCCAGCGGTGACTAACGCTGCATGCAGCCACAGGCCTACCTCCCTGTGCTGCTCCATTGTTGGTGCTGTTTACTTATCAGGATGTCAGGGCGCTGAATCACGCTACGTCATGCTTATACTTGCATGTTGATGCTTCTCTTGCCTGCACAGCAACTACTTAGTGCTTTTTTTTTTTTTTTTCTAAAACTGGTTTCTTATTGAGGTGTAGCCAGAGGCTGATATGCAAACAGAGAAGTAATTGCACGTCTCTCGGTATAAATCCTGTGTGTACACGTTGCTGATCGTGTTTGAACTGGTGTGGTTTCAGCTGGAGAATCTGACCAACTTCATCAAAGCCATCACAGCCTACGGCCTGAAGCCCCACGACATCTTCGAAGCCAACGACCTGTTTGAGAGCGGCAACATGACGCAGGTCCAGACGACGCTGCTCGCCCTCGCCAGCATGGTGAGCCTCTGTTTGCACAGTTTAAAGAGTAAACAAAAAAAAAACAGATGACAAGTAATGCAGCGAGTATGAAGTGCAGGGTGAGGCAGGGGATGGTTGCTTAAAATATGAAGAAAACAAAGTGAGCACACACAAAATGATGACAGCAGTGAAAATGTGCACCAACACATACGAACAATATACAAAGCAGAAAATGTGAATAAAAGACCTGAGCATCTGTGAGCATGTGGAGGCCATGATGGTGGTAGACCAGGACCGACCACTCTGTCATTCATACACGCCTCTGTGGGTAAACCAGACTGGGACTGTGGGTTTCTGTATGTCCACTTTAAAGCCTGTGTTTTCTGTCAGGCCAAGACCAAGGGCTGCCAGTCGCGGGTGGACATCGGGGTGAAGTACGCTGACAAGCAGGAGAGGATGTTCGACGACGAGAAGATGAGGGCCGGACAGTGTGTCATCGGCCTGCAGGTATCGCTTTCATTTCTTTGTTTTCAAGATTTCAAAGCTCTCCTGCTGTCAGACTTTCAGTTCCACCAAGTCGAACAGCTCTTTATTTACAGTCAATAAGTTGGGATCGTTTCTACGGTGACGCTCAGGGCTTTGGAAGAAGCACCAGGTGTCAGAGGAATCCTAAATAAAGCGGTGCTCGCTGGAGCTCGTTGGTGTGATAACCGGTTGGTTCTGACAGCTGCTCAACTCGCTGCATGTGGTGAAACTATTGCGTAACTCGTCATGATCTCATGTCGAGCGTCGCATACTTGTGTAGAAGAGGCGCTCGTTGTTCTCGCTGCCTCTTAAGCCTCTCGGTTTTGTTTTTGTTTCCGTCGCCTGGAGAGATCTCTGGCAGATAGGCAGGCTACTGAAACGGTGAGAAAACTTGCAATACAAGTCACTGTTAGCGACATGACCGGAGTGCAGACGCAGCAGACGGTCGGCTGAAGCTGTACACGGTGTGTTGTTTGCTCAGCGTTGTGATTGGACAAACACGGCTCATGTTGCTGTTATTCACGGCAGAGTCGAAACTAAGGTTTCCGTTGCACTCTGATGGGTTCATTGCTCCTTTCAGTCCTATAAAAATATTTCAAAATCCAGTGATGTTGTGCAACAGTTTGCTGTCGGTGCACTGTTTTGTTTTGGCGGCCTGATATCTTGATTTATTGACAATATTATTTTCATTTTCTGTGTTTAGATGGGGACCAACAAGTGTGCCAGTCAGAAAGGAATGAACGCATACGGCACCAAGAGACCCTTGTATGACCCCAAGGTTCAGATCCAGCCCCCCATGGACAACACAACCATCAGTCTGCAGATGGGAACCAACAAGGGGGCGACTCAGGTACTGCAGCATGTTTAAAACTCCTCCAAGATTCAGTGTTATCGGACTGCAGTGAGCCCCAGGGTGCAGGTCCTCTGCTGTAAACTAGCGTCATGGTTAGTCTCCTGTAAAGTAAACCTGCTTCTTCTTCCTCTCCTGCTCCAGTCTGGGATGGGGGCTCTGGGGAGAAGGCGTGGCATTTACGACAGTAAGATGTGCACGGAGAAGTGCGACAACAGCACCATGTCCCTCCAGATGGGATACACACAGGGAGCCAACCAGAGCGGCCAGAGCTTCGGCAAGCCGCGGCAGATCTGCGACGCCACGTACTGTCCGAAACCTGGAGAGGTCTCAGGTGAGCCGAATGGGGCCGGCGGCGTCCGCGACTACATCCCAGATTACCAAGACGAGGGTTACCAAGGCTACCAGGAAGAGGAGCAGGTGTACCACGAAGACGGGACAGATTACTGAGAGGCGGGAGGGAGCTGAGGAAGGGAAAGGGAGATGAGTAGAGGTGGCATGTTCTGCAGGAACAACCCCAAAGCAGGCAGGTGGCGTATTTTTATATCCATAGGATGTTACCGTTTGTTTTTAGGTCATATCCTTTTTGTTTTGTATGAATTAGTTTCCCTCTCCCGACTTGTGCAGAACCGTTGTTACACATATCATGATGAACTGTATTTCTGTGATTTTTCTATTTAAAGTGACCACAGAAGCCAGTCGTCTGGCTCAGCCAGCTGTCTGTCGCAGGGATCTTCTTATTGTGCCAAAGCCCCGCTGTTCTCCAGGGCTGCTGTTGGTTCGTTTACTTGTCGTTGGTGAACTCATTAGTTGCATTAAGGGAGATGCCCAGCTTCCTACATGGGCTCAATGAAACTAAACGGGAAACATTAGGGACTTTTTAAAAGCGGTTTTTAGAAATCATGTGTTATTTTGATTAAAACCCACCCATGGTTGTGTTTCTATCATCGCTGTATCGTGTGTGTCGACAGCAGCTCCTGTGAATGCTCAGAGTCCAGTATCCTCCACGTCCCGTCAGTATTCCTCATCCACATGCAGTCACACCTTCTCCTGTTCACACACATGAAAGAAACCAAGTAGATCTGTGCAGCCTTCGCCTTAAATGTTGTATTTTTTTCTTCCTTCTTTAATGAAGGAAATATTTCCTTTTGTTTGCATAACCAGTCCAACTGGAGACGGGTTTGTTGTCTTTGGACCAGGACGGTAGCGGGAGGGGGGCGGATAGAATAAAACTCAAGTGAAGTTTTGAACATTCCAAGCAAGAATACTGGATTCTTTTTTTTTTTTTTCTCTCAGTGAATTATGTTTAAGTGAATCATTCTTAAATATTGGTTGTTTTACCAACGATCATACCATCCTATCTGATCATTCCGATTATTATTTATGCGTATTTGTGATTTGAATGGGGGCTGTTTTGTACTTTGAATAACATTTGGTATTGGACTACACTTTGTTCCTCTGGAATCATTTTTATGCTGATGAAAAAAAAAAAGTCTGAATTGTTGTTGTGAGAAAAATGTAATAAAAACGTATATACATGGTTTTTATTCCGTGTTGTTTTTGTTTGTAGATGTAGGATACCTGTTATCAGCAGCTGGTTGGTGATCTGTGGCCACCGGCTGATGCTGTTTAAACTCAGACAATAATTTGGCCGTTATTGTCAACTTAACTCTTATTTTAACTATTTTTAGGCCAAACATGCAGCGTAATATGACAGGATGGTCGTATAGACTGACTCTAAACAGGTTTCAGATTCATACATGAAGGAGTTTAAAGCACTCTGTGGTCTCTGGTCGCTTCAGTCTGTCTGTCAACGTATAAACTGAATGTCATGTGACAACATTATTATATATGCAGACTACTTTACATATTAACATCCATCCATCCATTATCTATACATTGCTTAATCCTCACTAGGATCAATGGGGGGGCGGAGCCTATCCCAGCTAACTCAGGGTGAAGGCAGGTTCACCTGGACAGGTCACCAGTCTATCACAGGGCCACACTTAGAGACACACAACCAAACACACTCACATTCACACCTACAGACAATTTACAATCACCAATTAACCTCAGCATGTTTCTGGACTGTGAGAGGAAGCCGGAGAACCTGGAGAGAACCCACGCTGCACGGGGAGAACATGGAGACTCCACGCAGAAAGATCCCGGGTGTCCTCACCGGGACGCCAACCGGCAACCTTCTAGCTGTGAGGCGCTAACGGTACTAACCACCGAGCCACCTGCAGCTCATATGAACATTCTCTTTTAGATTTAAAATGTCTAAAGTGCCCCTTCAGGAAGAAAACAGAGAAACCAGTCTGGAGCTGCTCTTCATTCTCTTCTCTCCATACTGAATGGATGTCCTGTCATGGACATCGTTTGCATGAGTTTATCATTGTTGAGGTGTAACCAACAAATAGAATATATCAGATACAGATGCATGGAGGCAAATGATAAAAACCCTGATGACATGATAAACAGGTTGATCAGAGATGATGTGTTAAACGACAGGGAGGATGATGAAACACTGTCTGTCCATAACTACTGCTGCAGACATGCAATGAAACGTATGCAGGAAGCCCGACTACACCTCTGAGCAGGATCTCTGAAACGTTCAATGAGTCAACATTCGACCATGTTATAGTAATCATAATAATAATAGATCAGATTTAGACAGCGCTTTTCTAGACACTCAAAGTCACTTTATGCAGAAGATCCCGGTGCCCCCACCGGGACGCAAACCAGCAACCTTCTAGCTGCGAGGCAACAGTGCTAACCAACTGCGCCACCTTGCAGCCCATGAAACAATCTTAACACCAGAACGACACCACACCTGGCTGCAGGTAGCTGCTGTGTCCTCAGGTGTTGTTAGCAGGCTCCTGCTACAAGCTGCTGCTGCTGGTTTATCTTCTGTCCAGCAGCCAGCTGATGCTCTTGTTTTCATTCTAATGAAGCCTCACTACCTGGTTTCACACCTGCTGGGGCACAACGTGAAGCTGTTGCTTAGACACAGCTGAGAAAGCGTTGATCACAGGTTCTGTTATCGTTCCTGCAGCTGACCTCAGCTTGTGTAGAACAGCGAGTGGAACCCACATGAGTGTATTCGTTCAAATCAGACCTCAACTTTGGCATTTTTGAACAATACTAGCAGCAAATAAAGTGACAGATGACACACAGTGAGGCCTGTGTGTTTGGACGGTGACACGGTGTCGGTACCTCTGCCCACCACAGGGTTAGGATAAAATGAAGCACTGATGACGTGATGGACGTGTCAGCGCTCAGCTTTAAGTTTAACAAACACAGCACAGACCGGTCAGGAGTTCCACATGCATCTGAGGCCCTCCGTCTTCACTAGTTCAGAAGTAAACTGACATAGTTATAAATACGAGGATTATTTTTAATACTTGGATGCAGATCCTTTGCAGTCTTCAAGTCTGGACCCCACGGACATCCCTAAACACTACGTTTCCTCCCTTCACAGGCTTTTAAAGGCTTTTACTGCCGCCGCCTTCAGCCGCTGCTGGTTCGTGGGTCTTTCTGCCCTCTGCGTTGTCTTCAGGAAGAGAAAACCAGCAGGCTTGAGATCTGGCACCTGACTTTTGGGTCCATCAGTGCTGTTAGGCGTCGTCCCAGTTTCCCAGCATTGGAGTGAATCTGAGCAGAACGTGAAGCTTTGTGCGCTTCAGAATTCATCCTGCTGCTTCTATCAGCAGTCACATCATCAAGGAAACCCAGTGACCCAGATCCACTGGCGGCGCTGCCTCGGCCGCGTGTGACAGACGATGTGGTTTGGATCCAGAGCCCTTCTTTTCCTTCACCACACTCTTCCCTTGATCCTGGTACTAACATTTAATCTTGGTTTCATCCATCCAAAGAATGTTGTTCCAAAACTGGACAGGCTTTTTTTGTGTATGTTTTCTAGCAAACTCTGGTCTGGCCTCTCAGCGTTTTTCCCTTTGAGGCAAACCGTCTGTATTTACATCAACAAGGCGTCTCTTGATTGTAGACTTTGACAATCATACGCCTCCACACCTCCTCCATCGTTTTCTTGACTTGGCTCGACATTGCGAAGGCATTTTTTTTCACTAAGGAAAGAATTCTGCCACTTTCGTCGTCTTCCAGGCCTTTTGGTGCAGCTGAGGCCGCCAGCGCATTCCTTCTCTTTAGGAGTCTACCACACAGTGGATCTGACCACTTCTAAAACTTCTGCTGTCTCTTTGATAGCTCTGTTGTCTGTTTGGATCCGCTGACGGCCTCCTTCATCAACACTGACACCTCTCTGAGCTGCATGTGGGAAGTTCCTACACACAGCTACCAGATTCAGTAATCAGCTCCAGACCTTTAATTGTCTTAATTTGTCAGAAATCTCAAAATAAAACCGATTATCAGTCAGTTTTCCAATTACTTTTGAGCCTGAATATGTTATTATGTTAAAACCTCTGGAGTGAAAGCTGCATTTACATGTTCTACGTTTCATTTACATCATGATCATTCAGTTCAAATCCATCGTGGGGGTGTACAGAGGACAAATGATGAAAAACTGGGTTGAAAAATGTACGGATCTGACTGTACATGAAATTAACACGGGAGAAATCAGAATACATTTCATCAAGTTCATTGTGATTGTCTACATTGGTTTATGGCAGAAGTAGTCAGGATACTTTAAAACCTGAGGGAACAAAACCCAAAACCACATCGTCAAAAAATAAATGGTATTAAAAAAAATGTTGTCTATAATTTTAGAAAAATGTATTATTTTACAGATTTTTAATTGTTTTTGTTAAATTCCAGATAACTAAATCACAGCAACAGCATTAACTTATGTGCTAACAAAAATACATTTAAAAAAATAAAAATGAAACCATCAATAAGAAATAAAAAAACTCAAATTAATGAAAAGTAATAAAAAATAAATAAATACAAAATCTTTAAAAATAATAAATAATAAATAGAAAATTAAAAATACATTAAAAATATATATTCTTATTTTTATTATTTTCTTTATTTGTCTTTATATTTCTACATTTATCAGCCTTTTCTTTTATGGATTCATTTTTGATTAATATTGCCACATTATTTATTTTTTATTTTATTTATTCTTCTTTTTATTTCCACTTTTATTTTATTATTCTTTTGGTGACTTATTTTTGTAATTTGGCGCTCTCACTACTCCATAGCTAACCCTAAAAATAAAAATATATTTTAAAAAAAACCCCAGCCAAAACAGTAAATAGTGTTTATATAAAAAGTCTGATTCTCCCCGTGCAGCGTGGGTTCTCTCCGGGTTCTCCGGCTTCCTCCCACACAGTCCAAAAACATGTTGAGGTTAATTGGTGATTCTAAATTGTCCGTAGGTGTGAATGTGAGTGTGCTTGGTTGTCTGTCTCTAAGTGTGGCCCTGTGATGGACTGGCGACCTGTCCAGGGTGTCCCCTGCCTTCGCCCTAAGTCGGCTGGGATAGGCTCCAGCCCCCCCGCGACCCTAATAAGGATTAAGCGGTGTATAGAAAATGGATGGATAAAAAGTCTGTTTAAAAAAAAAACCCAATCAAACAGTAATTCAGTTTACCAATGTGCAACCAAATACACAGTTTTTGTACATATACATTTGTTAAACATATATCATGTTCATATATGTGCCTCTTACTTTCCCTGTTTTAGCAGTTTTTGAATGTGACATTATATTCGATATAATCTATAGATATGCAGATTTATTTGGCTGCCAGTTGTCTTTTACTGGTTATTGTGGGTTTTCTTGTTTTGCTCTGCTTTCTCACAGTGTGTCTGCAGAATAGAGGAAGTGAGATGTGAGTGTTAGATTGTCCATACCAGCAGCTGGATGTGTCAGTGTGTACACAACACTTCACTGTTGGATCTGCTGGAGGTGGAACCAGCTGTGACTGTATGAAGCTGGGCACCCAGAGTTTGGTCTGAGGGCCTGTGAGATGATTCATGTGGCGGGAACAAGAGGAGCTTTACCTCCCAGAACCCTGACTGATAACTAAACTGGTACAGTCACAGTGTGGTGAGGAAGTGGCAGCAAAAGAAAATATTTGAGTAAATTACCTCCTTTGCCTTTATTTCCCTCCACTGCTCAGCACTACATGTGATCCTTTAACCATTCCTTTCTGTCTGTAGGTACCGTTTGTATGTTTGGTTCTGAGCTGGAACTGTTTTGTTTTCTCTTCCTGAAACGCGGATCTAACTCCGTAAAACCTCCCGTGATTTAAACGACGGTGAAAACTGGAGGACACGTTGGTAGAAACCTGATACCGGCCAGAAAGGGTAGTGAATTGCGCCACCTGCTGGCCACGCGAGACTAACGCCGGAACGCAACACCGGATGTTTGCCACAAATCGCGCGACATTAGGCCTTACGAGACTTGCAGCCGTTCTTTTCCCCCGGAACTCCAGGCAAGATGGTAGGTGCTCGTCCGAGTCTGAAGCTTGTCAAACTATAATCTAAATGCATCCGTGTTGTGGAGCTGCTGATTAAAGCAGCTGGTGACAGTAACCGACAGTTACACAAGTTTACTGATCAGTCCGCCGAAAATGGTGGTTTAGAAGAACGGATAAAGCTGTGGATAGACTCAGTGTTAGCCCGGTTAGCTGAGGCCGCCTGTGGCTAAGCTAACCGGCGGCTCAGCGTAAACTGTGCTAGTGGTTTATAATGACTGTGTGACACCAGCACCACAGTTATAACACATGAGTTAATAAACTGGCCTGTATGTGTTTGAATGTGAGAAGTAGCGCAGTTAATATTCGCGCTTTCATCTAAATGCTAACTGTGAAAGCTAACTGTGGAGGCTACACGGTGACCGACTGTGATGCTCGTCTCTTCCAGGCAGACACCGAGATCAAGAAGAAGCGTACCTTCAGGAAGTTCACCTACAGAGGTGTGGACCTGGACCAGCTTCTGGACATGTCCTAGTGAGTGACACGCTGGTGGGGATGTTCTCCGGCCAGCTGCAGCTACAGCCACCAATGTGATTGTCTGGAAACTGACATGTAGCTTTATGGTGGTTAGACTCTAAAGCATCGAGTGTGTGTAACTCACATATACCCAAATACTTGCAGGCTTTTGTTTTCTCTTTGTCCTTCATCACTGAAATCTGGAGTTAAGGTCCTGCATCTGTGACACACTGTAATTGTGTACGTCAGAGAGCAAATCTGATTATCCCTTCATATGACAACACAACTTATAGTTAATGCTGAAACTGTCCTGTCGATAGGTGTGTTCCAGTATCTGTACTGCCGTAGTAAATGTCAGAATAGAAAAAGATTTAGTATGTCCCAAAACAAATCAAATGTAGTATGTGAAAAATACCAGGATGTCCTCCTACATCTGGTTGACTTTTTGAGTATATAGACAAGCCAGAATGCTTCTGTGGCCTTTGTGACCCACAGCACCATGCACAGGTCCAACAGATATGTCACAGTGTGTCTCGCATGTATGAACAAGTCTGAGCTGCTGACAGCACAGACAGGTGATAGCTCATCTAACATCACAGGCTGACAGTCACAGCTTAAAGTGCACATTATGCTAAAGTAGTATGTTCAGTCGTATTAATACTACACCAGTATTACGTACTATAGGAGCAGCTGTAGTTTGACTGGCTTCTAATAAAAAAAAGAAGTGAGATTTGAACTGCGGCTCATATATTGTCCTGATCAGTGGACAGCTAAACTTTAGCATGTCAACAGTTGTATTTTTCTGTGTTTTAATCAGACTTATTGTGAGGCAGACCCAGTATCTGTTGCTGCCACCATCAGTGTAGCTGAGATCGCTGAAAGAGTGTTTGCAGACATTCTTTCTTTTTCATTCTCCCTGCTGATGGCCTCGCTGATGTCTCCACTTTCTGTGTCCTCCCTGTGCAGCGAGCAGCTGATGCAGCTGTACTGCGCCCGCCAGAGGAGGAGGCTGAACCGTGGCCTGCGTCGCAAGCAGCAGTCCCTCCTGAAACGTCTGCGCAAGGCGAAGAAGGAGGCTCCTCCCATGGAGAAACCAGAGGTGGTGAAGACCCACCTGAGAGACATGGTCATCCTGCCTGAGATGGTCGGATCCATGGTCGGAGTGTACAACGGCAAGACTTTCAACCAGGTTGAGATCAAGGTGAGACGCTGGTAGTGGTGGGAGGGGGGGCATATGTGGACACCTGTAGACGCTGACTTTGTTGGACCACCACATCGATCACTTCAGCTGCATTATGAAGAAGAATGATGTCGGGAGTTAGTTTATAACCTAATCTAAAACTGCAGATTAAAAACACAGAGCCTACATGGGTCCAAGTGACTGCAGGCGACTGTACTGGTAGTAATTTTAGGTGCTGTGTTCTGGTTTCCATTCAGGTTTCACTCTTGTGCTCTGAAGGTCATCATCCTTCAATGCCAAAGCATCAGGCCTGTCATCAGAGTTGCTCAGGGAGCCTTTTGTGGTTTTAAGCGAAGCATGTTGTAGTCGGTATGGTAGAGCTATGACTCCAGCTGCTGCATCTGACTGCTTGTAAAGGACACACGTGGTCAGTTGTACACAGATGAGAGACAGATCCATCAAACCGCAGCTACAGATCTGAAAGAAAATCTCATCTCATTAGTCAAGTTGATAGAGCTGTGAAATATCTTGTTAGAATGTTCTCTAAGCGTTTCCAAAATCACAATAATCCTAGTTTGAGCTGTTCAGTTAAATTAAGAATAAACTTGAATGTAGAATACACCAGTGACAGTAAAACTGTATTAATAATGGGTAGAGGATGCTACAGTATAGTGTAGTGCTGCTAGAAACATCCCTGACAGGAGTACACAGAGGGAGGCATGGTGTGTGATGCCTGTTCAACACACTGGTCCTGAACTCTTCTAGCGTTGGATACACACACTTCAGTCCTGCCTGAGGGATATTATCGCATCATGAAATACTACAGGACTTCTCTTAAAAGCTTGAATTTTGTACCATGTGCAGCTGCTGTCATCACAAGTCATCTGTTTTTAGTTTTAAATTATCGACTATGAACAGAGCTGTGGCTCTGGTCTTCAGCCCGACCGTCTCCTGGATGTTTTCTAGTCCTGTTGCTGACATGCTGCTCTTTGTCTTCTCCACAGCCTGAGATGTGTGGCCACTACCTGGGAGAGTTCTCCATCACCTACAAGCCAGTGAAGCACGGTCGCCCCGGTATCGGAGCCACACACTCTTCCCGTTTCATCCCTCTCAAGTAGAATGGCTGTGTTCTTTGTATAAATAATAAAACGTGTTCTCACACAACTCGACTGCTCTCCTGTTTTCTGCATAATGGAATGAAATGAAAGGCTTGTTTGACAGAATAATATGCTGATAGAATCTCGGCATTTTATATTGTTCTAGGTGTTTTACTAAAGGGCATGGATCCTTTCAAGATAACTGGAACAGATTGGTTCTGATTTGTACTGAAAATCCTGAATTACATTGAAGTGATGTGATGAATTAAGCTCTCAGAACACGCTGGAAAAGTTTCTGCAGAGAGAATATTTAAAAACTCATATGGTCCAGGTGCACATCCAGGTATTTACTGGTGCTTTGATGGATCTGTCTGGGCTCCAGGTAGAACATCGTTACCGTGGGTCTCCAGGTTCTCTGAACGGTTAATCTGGATGAAGCCTCGCATGTCAAACACCTTTAGTTTAAGCTGGCGTGCGGTTAAACCTGCTGCAGGTGAATAGTTAAAATAAGAGCTGCTGCCATCAGAGCCAGTGACCGCTGACGCCAGAGCAGTGCGGCCCTGAAAAACGTCCCGGAGTGTACTCCAGCAGCGCGAAGGTTCCGCCTCCTTCCGATCTTAAAGCCAGCTACATTCTCTGTGTGGCCATTCTGGGCCATGGATACAACCTTTAGCAGCCGCAAGATCTGTTTACTGACACCGAGCTAAGGCAGTCTGTGACCTGGTTAAAGAAACAGAGGCCAGATTGGTAAGTATTTTACTTAATTCCAGCTCGTTTCTTAGCGACGCTTGTCTGAGCGGCTGTTTTTACAGAAAGCCAGCTCCCGCTAGCTAGCGGCTAGCTAGCCTCCAGCTAGCATGACGGTGGCTAGCTGGTTAGCTTCAGAGCGAAAATGACAGAGGAGAGCTGTCATGTCAAAACGTAGCCAAGCGGGATATTTCTGAACGGATACGGTTTAAGAACAGCCCGTTTCTAACAACCTGGGCTTTCGTCATTCACCGCAAAGTAAAAGCAACGTCGGTTCCGTTTGAAATGTTGACCCAGATGGATTTGCCGGTGTTTCAGCCGGTGTGACTGAGGAGTTGAATCCGAGAACAAAGCTCTATTGTAGGCTAGCTAACGTTGACTGTTAACATCAGCGGTGCCGGTAATTCACTGGTTCGCTCGACCTGTTCCCACCCTGTACGTTAGCCCGCTCAGAGCTATCAAATACTCAACTGGGCCGGACCAGCTCTTCCATGTATTAGGTTTCAAGCTGCAGTGCCATTTTTGTTTTTTCATGTTAACATATAAGACAGAGAGCACGTTGAGTTAAAGTTTAATGTCCAGGGGAGGCTGTGATAGCAGCTAGCAGCCACGGTACTGATGCTCTCCCTCCTGGAGAGGAGGATCAGAAGTCACATTTGCGTTTTTCTAAATCCCCATTCACAAGCACACCAAAACCAGTCTGCTGATACAGACCTCCCAGTTAGCTGTTGTCTTCATGTTCAGGGAGCTGGTGACATTTTCTACCTCATATCCTGGTTGGAGTATTTTTATGGGCTCTTAAACTGGTTTCGGACCCTATCAGGTATCAGACCAGTCCACCATTTTTACGACACCACTAACAATACAGCAGCACCTCAGCTGTTTGGCCTGTGTGATTTTTCCCACAGTTGTTTGCGTCATACTAGTCTCTTACCCAACACGGATTATAAAGGCAGGAATGTGGGGTATTCCCTAAAGCTTCACCTGCAGCAGGTACAGCAGCTGATTTAGTTCATCACATGAGATGTTCAACAGGAGTTATGATCTTTAATGGTCACTCTGATCCGTTGTATTAAATTGTATGGCTCCATGTTTTAGAGTCAGTGTCCTACACTTATGAACTGTTTTTCTCTCTCTTTGAGGAGCATTTGAATCATTTCTGTTGTTCTTTGAGGACAACAGGAACAAATGTCTTGTGAGGGACGAAACGGTGCAGACAAACATCTATCCAGACCTCAGGTGTTCTGACGAGGAATCGCTGCCAAGATGTGTGACCATCTAACTCTGTGTCAGACCTTTAAATGATCTCAGTCCTGTGCTTTGTTCACAGGGTACAGCATTGGAGTCGGGCGCGTTGACCGGTGAATGCATAGAGTCAAGAAGGTCAAACTTTGTGACAAGAAAGAGGGTATTTGGAAAAGGTACCGTATTCCTGTCATGTCCTCTGTAATACCTGTCGTACTCAGTAAGGTGGGTTTAACCGTTTAAAAAGGATGATGCCTTCTGTTCCATTTTTCACGTTTTTATACGAGCAGCTGTGTGACCGTGAGGATGACGGCTGTGGACGGCCTTTCGGACAGCACAGAGGTGGTGGAGATGGAGGACGTCCCATCCCAGTTCTTTGTGGAGAAACACTCTTGGGAGGGCCTTCGTGACATCATCCACTGTAGCAGGAAGTACTCGGGTATGATCGCCAACAAGGCTCCACATGACTTCCAGTTTGTGCAGAAGAAGGATGAAAATGGACCCCACTCCCATCGGCTGTACTACCTCGGTGAGCTCTGTTCAAACTGAACTGATCCTTAGGATTTGTATTTGTTGCTCCTTTGTACTGCTTTCCCCTGACCTCACTTGTGTTTTCCTGCTCTGGAGTATGACGGCCTCATGACGTTAAAACAGTGACTCTGTTAAATGTGTCCTCATGCAGCCAGCTCGAGCTTTTTTCTGCGTCGTCGTTGTTGCTGAAGCTGCTTTTGTGTTTTTCGATGTGCCTTCCAGGAATGCCTTATGGAAGCAGAGAGAACTCGTTACTCTACTCAGAAATCCCCAAGAAGATTCGGAAAGAGGCCCTCTTAGTGTTGTCATGGAAACAGATGCTGGATCACTTCCAGGTGAGTTCCCTCTCTGCCGGCTCGTGCAACTCCACCAGCGAACACCGTCACATACTGATAGTGAAACTGAAAGTGCTGAACAGCTGTGATCCAGAGGGTTCTGTGAGGTGACTGTGGTTCAGTCGTATGTTTCACAGGAATCACACTGTTCATGTTTGTACACTAAAACATGTTTACATCGCAAACAATCTCTTCAGTAAATTCTAATTCTGCACATGTGATTTCCTGTTGTTTCTCTCAGGCGACGCCACACCAGGGGGCCTACTCTCGAGAGGAGGAGCTGCTGAGAGAGCGCAAACGTTTGGGAGCATTTGGTATCACTTCCTATGACTACCACTCTCAGACAGGCCTGTTCCTCTTCCAGGCCAGCAACAGCCTCTTCTACTGTCAAGACGGAGGAAACAACGGCTTCATCGTGAGTACTCTGCTGTCTTTTCTCCAATGTTGAATTTCTTAGATACTCGAAATGCATGGAATTAAGAGCGAGATAACGATATCCAAGGTAAAGATGCACTACACAGTACAGCTGTGTGGTGGCACTGAAGCAGTCTGCGGTTATTCAAGTAGAAAAATGATATCAATACGACAATGAGTTAGTGCACGGTGGTTCCTGTCACACATGACTTATTTCAGGGGTGTCAGGTCCTGGTCCTCGAGGGCCACAATCCTGCATGTTTTAGATGTTTCCCTCTTCCAACACACCTGATTCAAATGATCAGTTCATCCTCAAGCTCTGCAGAAGCCTGCTAACGATCCTGATCAGGGAAACATCTACAACATGCAGGACTGTGGCCCTGGAGGACCAGGACTGGACACCCCTGACTTATTTGATATTCAATGTGCTGTCGTTTATTTTTGGATGTAATTAATGCAGAAAACTGTTGTCTTAGAGCAAATAGAGTTTCAATATCTAATTTATTATCATACAATGTGATCCATTTCTACTTACGGCCACATCGCTGTGAAAACGTCCAATCCCGTCTGATCTCAGAGGGCGACCCAGTAGCTCAACTGGACAAGACAGTGACCCATGTACAGGGGCTATAGTCCCCGATGCAGTGGCCGTGGTTCGAGTCCAGCCAGTGGCTCATTTGGTAGAGCTGCTAGGTGGCTCGGTGGTTAGCACCGTGGCCTCACAGCTAGAAGGTTGCTGGTTGGCGTCCCAGTGAGGACACCCGGGATCTTCCTGCGTGGAGTCTCCATGTTCTCCCCGTGCAGCATGGGTTCTCTCCGGGTTCTCCGGCTTCCTCCCACAGTCCAGAAACATGCTGAGGTTAATTGGTGATTCTAAATTGTCTGTAGGTGTGAATGTGAGTGTGCTTGGTTGTCTGTCTCTAAGTGTAGCCCTGTGATAGACTGGTTACCTGTCCAGGTGAACCTGCCTTCACCCTGAGTCAGCTGGGATAGACTCCAGCCCCCCACCACCCTAGTGAGGATTAAGGTGAAGACATGATGGATGGATGTTCCGGTTCTGCCAGGTCTTGTCATGAGTTGGAGCAGATTTTATGGATGAGAAGATGATCATCAGACCATTTTTTACGTTTCAGTTTGTTGATCTTTGTGCTGGAGAAGCTTAACCATGAACTTTTCTCTGAGAGGTGTATCATGGAGCTTTCTGGGGCAGGTACACGACATGTTGTCAGCAGGTGCAGTTTGGATTTAAAATGCTGATAAAGACTTTATTAGTATTTGTAAGAGGGGCTTTTCATGGATCTTCTGTTTTGCTTTAGTGTCACTGCTACACTGGATGGGATGCAGAGTTTTAGGGGTGTGAGGCATCCTGTTGATGCCTGTTGTTTAGACTAGATGCAGCATTTTGAAGGAACAAACTGGACAAACGATGAGTAAATGGAATTACTAGGAACATGTATTTAGTTTTATAGACTGAAGAAATGACAGGTTGGTGTATGTTGGAGCAAACATTCTGAACATCTGGTCATTCTGCAAAACGAGCTGTTGGACTGTTATTCATTATTCTCACTGACACATTGAAAGGTCACGACGTCTGCCTGTATGGATCGACAGCATGTACTGTCATTTGCATGGTTGTGTCATCCAGCAAACTGTTGGTTTGGAATACCAACAGATGATGCAGCTGTTGGGGACAGAGTTAGTCGGATGTCTTTCAGAGCTGCTGTCTGTATTTCAAGATTTAGACATTCATTCATTACCATTACGACGACGCCTTCATCAGGTCTGTGTCGCTCTTCGGTTTGCCTTTGGCTAAGATTGTGTCTGTTGGTTTTAGCAGTCTGCTCCTGTAAAGCCTGTGGAGATCAAGACCCAGTGCTCAGGGACCCGAATGGACCCCAAGATCTGTCCAGGAGAGCCCGACTTCATAGCCTTCATCAACAACAACGACTTGTGGATAGCCAACATCAAGACGGGCGAAGAGAGGAGGCTCACGTTCTGTCATAAAGGTCTGGTCGCAATCATTTGAGCTGTCGACGTAAAGGTCACGCAGGAAATCAGTTAAAACATGAAGAAAACACCGTACAGCTGTAAACGATAAAGACTGCTTTAATTTAGACTTTTCAGCTTCAGTTTGTGTGTTTCTCATCGTCTCATTTCAGAAAGAAAGCTCCAGTAGGTTGCACAGTATCAGCTCGTCCGTTTGCTTGGATGTGAGCTTTTTGAACTTATCTGATGTCTTCCAGGTGTAGATAACGTGAAGGAGGACCCCAAGTCTGCAGGTGTAGCAACGTTTGTCATCCAAGAGGAGTTTGACCGTTTCACTGGTTACTGGTGGAGTCCTTCAGCAGTAGAAGGTCAGTTATTGACCGACCCAAGTCGTTCTGGGAGCACACGGGTCAGCCAGCGCTATCGCTCCTGTTTGTGTGCATCCGTTACATTCTGTCATCACACCAAGCGTTCCTCTCATCAGATCCCAGTGGAGGTAAAACCGTGTCCCTCCTGTATGAAGAGGTGGATGAGACGGAAGTAGAAATTATTCACGTTCCTTCTCCGGCGCTGGAGGAGCGGAAAGCAGACGCGTACAGATATCCCCGAACAGGTGGGTGCAGCGCTCGGATCTGGAGAAGTGAAGCGTCATGTCTGCCTTTTACGTCACTTCTGTTCTTCTGATGTCTTAATTACAGGCAGCAAAAACCCTCAGGCTACCCTCAAACTGGCAGAGATTAAGACAGACCATCAGGGAAGGGTGAGTGTTCCACTGACTGCCTTTCGTTCCTCAGCGCGGCCACTCGGTCTCGCTAACGTGTGCGTGTACTTGCAGATTGTGAGCACACAAGACAAAGAGCTCGTCGTCCCCTTCACCTCCTTGTTTCCTGGGACAGAATACATCGCCAGAGTCGGGTGGACGAGTGACGGCAAATAGTGAGTGCTCCGCTCAAAGCTGTAATCGTGCTGGAATTCTCACATAAGACCAAGGAAGCATTTCAGTCGGAGGTTGCTTGATGGAGTATTCTCACGTTTATCATGTCTTTGTTGTGGCCTGCATTGTAAGACATTTTTCTCTTTGTGCGTTCTCAGTGGCTGGGCGGTGCTGTTGGACCGCAGTCAGAGGAAACTCCAGCTGGTTCTGCTGCCTCCGGCTCTCTTCATCCCTGTGACAGATGACCCGTCTGTGAGGCAGGAGAGTCTGGAGGCGGTGCCCGGCAACACGCAGCCCTACATCATCTATGAAGAGACCACAGACGTCTGGATAAATGTACGTGTTTCCACATCTTCAGTTAACCTCAAGCAGAACTCTGACTACTCAGGTGTAACGGTGGCCGCTGTCTTTCCTCTCTCCACAGGTTCATGATATATTCTATCCCTTTATTCAAACGACAGATGATGAATTTACTTTCATTTGGGTGAATGAGTCTAAAACAGGCTTCAGCCATCTGTATAAAACTACATCTGTGTTCCAACCGGGCTGCTACCACTGGACAGACGACTATCAACACGTAGAGGGTAGGAGGCCACGAGAGGCCAGCGCATGTATTAGAAATCAAATAAATCCGTTAATCTCATAGATGGATGTGTTTTAGAAGCTCATATTGTTTTATCTCTCCACTCAGCTGTTTGCAGGTTTCTTGTGTGTCAGGGAGCGTGCTGATTTAGTTATCTGTCTTGTTGCAGGAGACTTCAAATGTGCAATCAAAGAGGAGGTTACACTGACCAGTGGAGAATGGGAGGTGCTGGCAAGACACGGCTCCAAGGTTAGACAGAGTCTGTTGGTCCGGAATAAACAAAATACTCACCTATACAGTATGTACAGGGGTTAGGAACACGCTGAGGAAAGAGCAGTTTGATGTGCTGACTGTAGCGCTCTCGTTGTGAGCTCTCAGCCACAGTTTGAGGATGAGCTGAATGAGCTGTGCTGCAGTGCCTGAAGTCCACAGCTGATCGACATCACCAGATAGCCGGTATTTTCCCTGGAGCCGTTCTGTCAGGCCTGCACTGGAGCTGACTGCACTTTTTGCTTGTTTCAGGACATTTCTATCCTCATTCTGGTCCTTTCGAGCATCGTTCTGCTGCACAGTCTTAAAACTGCTGGACTGAATGTAATAGTTTTCTCAAACAGTCTGACGTTTTTCACCCATTGTGGGTACGACCAGCCTCACTGAGAAACCTCATGTTCACCTTTAACCAATGCCTCAAAGCCAAAATAATAAAACATTTCATTACCAAATATGTTTTGACTTGGCAGTTGATTTGAACTGTAGAAATCTTTCCCACACTCTTAGCTTCAGTATTAACACTCAGGACTGACCTTAGGGATGTTATAGTGAGCGAGTGAGGTTGTTTCATGGCTCCTTTCAGGTTTCTTACCATCCATCTGCTAACGCCCACTGTTGTCTTGTCGCCATCATTTGCCAGATCTGGGTGAACGAGGCCACGAAGCTGGTGTACTTCCAGGGCACCAGAGACACGCCTCTGGAGCACCACCTCTACGTGGTCAGCTACGAGTCACCTGGAGACGTGGTCAGACTAACCAAGCCCGGCTTCTCTCACAGCTGCTCCGTTAGTCAGGTACAGCCGTTTACTTGTTTTGCTGTGTGCACGTACAGTCTGGCTGGCTGTTTGTCTGTCCATGTTCTAAACATGTTACTACAACACAAACACCTTTTGTTGTCGAGTTCTTTCTCCTGCTAGTGGCCACAGATGTTCTCATAAAAGTCTGAGCAGAGAAACTGGAGATGATGGAGACGTTTTCCTGAAAGCTGTCAGAGCAAACAGTTTGGATGTAAATGTTGCAGGATGTGGGATGAATGTTTCCTGGATGTCAGCAGTAGCTCATGGTCGGCTGTGTAGCACAGATCTGAGCAGCATGCGGTGCGGTGCTGCAGTCCCATTCCCTCGTCCTGCAGCCTTCTTTATTCTTGTCCTGATGTTCTTTTCTTCGTTTTCATCATGTTTGACCTCTCTCTCTCTTTCTTCTCTCACTCTGCAGAACTTTGACTTCTTCGTCAGCCACTACAGTAATGTGAGCACGCCGCCCTGTGTTCACGTCTACAAACTGACCAGCTCAGAGGGCGACCCGCTACACATGGTACCCGAGTTCTGGGCCAGCATGATGGAATCACCAGGTACCCAGAAACAAACCATACAGCAGTTTTCCTAAGACAGATATGTACAGATAGTGTCCAACAGCAGCTCTCTCATGTGAGTTGTTCTGGATCAGAACGGGCCTTTGTGGGGTGAACATGCCCAGCAGCGAGCATAGTCGGTTCGTGTTATTACCAATTAATAAACTATCTATTTATCTGTCTATCTTATCTATTAAGCTTGAGATGGAACCTTAACTAAGTAAATTTTTATTTCTACAAAGGTTTATTTTTCTCTCTCGGTTCGTATCATTTGGAGCTGGTGGTTCTCCACGGCCACTGGCTGTTTGGGTTAGCATTAAAAGTTCCTCTTTGCACCAAAACCCTGCCCATGTAGACAAGAAGCGGCTTGTTCTGACAAAAATATGTGTTGGACATGGACGATTTGCAGTTGGGCATCACAAAGAGAGAAGTAAGCCAAGAGTCAGAGGTTCAGAGCTCAGAGGTTCAGAGTTTAGAGCTCAGAGGTTCAGAGTTCAGAGCTCAGAGCGCCCTCTAAGCATCTGCCAGATCACTAAAGCACCAGCTCCACTGGAAACTAAATCCTCATAGATGTTAGTAGTTTATTAACAGTAGCTGATCCCCCCTCTGGAGCAGCTCATGATAAATTACAAACCGGATTTTGAATAACGTTAAACCAACACAGATTTGGTTCTAATTCAGTTCCCTGATTGTTTCTTACTGTCCTGATAACACAGAGACTTACTCATGACATGAACCTCTTCTCATATTCAGACAACCTGGTGCTGAACCAGAGCCCGGTGTGTCAGCTGATGGTGTGTTTCCACAGCTCATCACAGGCCAAACAAACAGCTGGAAATCCCTGTAAATACATTTTTCAAACATCACGTGTGACGGTCGGCCCACCCATCTGTGGTTCTGTTTGGACCAGTCGATACAGCTGAGTGGAGTCTGTAGGGGACGGTCTGTGGTGTTGATGAAATCAAGGACAGTCAGTTGCATCTGCAGCGGCGTCCTCCAGACAATCCTGACAGCAACCAGATACTGAGCTGCCCAGACGTGGACAACATCCCGTGATCGTTGTTTATGATTAAATAGAAGCACCAGGAGACGGAATGGCAGGCCTTGACTGTCTTGTTGCTTATTTATTGGTGTTTGTGTTTTGGCTGAGGAGTAGAAGTCGAAGGGTTCCTGCCTCCTGAGTGCAGGGCCGCTCACAAAGTCAGCTGGCGCTATGGTGCTACCGTATGTGCCATAAATACCCTGCTGTGGATGGAAGTGATGCTACGGCCACGTTCACACGTAGCCGGTATTCACAAAAACGGATTTACGTTTTTAAAAATAACAGTTCACACCAGATCGTTCTCAAAAAAACCTTCATCAACACAAACCCGCATAAACCCATCGGTAAGAGCTGCTATGAGCTGCCAGACCTACAGGGGGCAGTGTAACCAGAAACATACAGCCAATCAGAATCCTGGAAAAAAACACAACAACGAATGACACTAGCTACTTCCTGTTACCTCAACGATAATGAGCCAAGGGGCTTCTCCTACATGTGGTGTTAGAGACACAACAAGGAAAACACTGACTTTCTATCACAGCAGCCAGACTGTAAACATGGTCGCACACATGTGATGCTTTAGTCGCTCACTGTGACGTCAGACTCCGCCTCCTCCTGTCTACATGCAGACATAAAGACAGAGTTTTTCCAGATCTCCACTGTGGCCGGAGTTTTCAGATCTGATGGTTTTGGTGACTCGTAGCTTCGTCTACGTGTGAACCAAAGGCCCGTTAAGATAGACGGGGCCTACGTCTACTAATCTGACCGAACAGGTGCAAGGTGGAACAGTTTAAGAATCACAATGTGAAGGTATCATGAGGTGATAGTTTGCAGTTCTAAGGTAACTCACCTGAAGATTGGTCTGATTCCTGATCAGTCATCAGATTGTGTTATTTGTGTGTAATACTGACTGTTTTCCTGACTTCTGTTAGACACTGAACACAGTCCACTGGGTTTGTGCTGAACTCTGTCGAGGCTTTTCAGACGTGTTGGTTCAGGTCAAGTTCTGTCTGGACCTGAGCCACCACCTCTGGCGGTTTCTGCTCACTCTTAACCACATGTGCCCATCTGTGTTCCAGGTTGCCCGGGAGATTACAATCCACCTGAGATTTTTGACTTTCCAGGAAAGTCAGGCTTCCAGCTTTATGGGATGGTTTACAAGCCTCACAATCTGCAGCCCGGCAGAAAGCACCCGACCGTTCTCTTTGTGTACGGAGGCCCGCAGGTTTGTGGTTCTGTCCAGTCCATGCTGCTGAAAATTGAATTTCCCTTCTGGGATAAATAAAGTATTTTTCATTTCATTCATTTCATTTCACTCTGGTGTAACTGTTTGGTGTGCAGTGAGATCTCGTCATAGCTGTCTTTCCTTTACGACCCTGAAATGCTGCTTTGAACCTGAGTTACTGTGTCGGGGGGGAAAGCCGAAGCACGCTGAGGAACGTTTTGTGTGTGTTTAGGTGCAGCTGGTGAACAACTCCTTCAAGGGGATGAAGTACCTCCGTCTGAACACGCTGGCCTCCCTCGGCTACGCTGTGGTCGTCATCGATGGGAGGGGCTCCTGCCAGAGGGGCCTCGAATTTGAAGGAGCTTTGAAAAACAAAATGGTAGAGTCTGATATTAAAATGAATCCAGTGTCAGCAGAGAAATGAAGATCCCTTCAGAAGACGTGCAGTTTAAATCACGTTCTGTTTGCCTTTGGTCCTCTAGGGTCAGGTGGAGATCGAAGACCAGGTGGAGGGGCTGCAGTATGTGGCCGAGAAGTTTAACTTCGTGGACCTGAGCCGTGTTGCCATCCACGGCTGGTCCTACGGTGGCTTCCTCTCTCTCATGGGCCTCATCCAGCGGCCCAATGTCTTCAAGGTGGGACGCCTCTTTGTCCTTCAGTCTTCTTTGTGTCGTTAAATCGTCTTCTCTGTCTGTCAGCAAGCTGAGTGGTGGCGTTACTGCCTGATGCTACATCCTGAGAGTTAACTGCTTAGTTTCTGAAGTGCTAAAAACAGGCAGCATGGTGGCTCGGTGGTTAGCACCGTTAGCGCCTCACAGCTAGAAGGTCACTGGTTGGCGTCCCGGTGAGGACACCCGGGATCTTTCTGCATGGAGTCTCCATGTTCTTCCCGTGCAGCGTGGGTTCTCTCCGGGTTCTCCGGCTTCTTCCCACAGTCCAGAAACATGCGGAGGTTAATTGGTGATTGTAAATTGTCTGTAGGTGTGAATGTGAGTGTGCTTGGTTGTCTGTCTCTAAGTGTAGCCCTGTGATAGACTGGTTACCTGTCCAGGTGAACCTGCCTTCACCCTGAGTCAGCTGGGATAGACTCCGCCTCCCTAGTGAGGATGAAGGTGTAGAGATGATGGATGGATGGATGATTCTAATAAGTGGACGTGTGATGCAGTTGCCTCTTGCGTCCACATGGTGTCGGTGTTGGACAGTGTGTTGGTTGTGTTCACTCAGTAGATGTCCTCCAGCTGGTTCATAACATCAACAGAGGAATCATCTCTAGTGCTTCTGCATTCTCTTCTAACACATTCAGTAAACCTAAACCATCACACCAACCTGTGTCTCATCTTCTGAGCTGCTCTCTAATAAAAACGACCTCATTCTTGTCCGTCTGACGACGCTGTGTGTCGCTGCCAGCTGGCTATTGCAGGAGCGCCGGTGACCGTGTGGATGGCCTACGACACCGGCTACACAGAGCGCTACATGGACGTGCCTGAGAACAACCAGCAGGGCTACGAGGAAGGATCGGTGGCGCTGCACGTGGACAAGCTGCCCAGCGAGTCAGTACACACACACACACACACACACACACACGCACACACACACACACTCTGACAGCATATGAGTTGGGGTCTGGTCGCTGTGAAGCTGTGTGACGTTGCATAGATCAGATCTCTTGTCTGTGTTGGATGACTGCAGGATGCAATCCGTTATATTCCTGTTGAACTCTGTTCCATTCTCCGTCGGGCCGGCCTTATTAAACTATTAGGATGTGAGGTAGAAGCTGAGCTCAGGCTTCAGCGTCTGGGCGTTCAGGAGGCCGTGGGCGTGTTGGAGCACTGCTCTGGGACGTCACAGCCAAGAATCTCTGAGGCCCTGCAGCTCAATTCAAACCTTTCTATGAATTTCTTTGGACAAGTTCAGGCTCCACTCATGTTGGACGGCAGGTGGTATTTCAAGAATTGCAGCGTATGTTGTTGTACTCTGTGGAAGCCTGTAGTCTTTTATTATTCTGCTCTTGGCATTAACTAACCCCTAGAAGCGGATATCTGATCGGCGTCGGCATGAAAATGATCCCTTCATGCCTTTACATGGCCTGTTGAGTCCCATCTCTCCCTCTCTACCCAGTCAGCCCTCTCCTACTCACTGCAGCTTGAGCACACCAGCTCACCTATCACCCATCACCCACTACCTCATTGTTCACACCGGAAACCGATTCTGAGAAAGAATATTGATTTGGAAAGTCCCACCATGCAAGGATTGGTACTTAAAGTTTGTTAATGTGAAACCCTGAAGTCTGTGTAGGTTTAAGGTGGAACTGCTCAGCCGTAGCATTGACTGCCATTTATGCTCCTGATGTGTATTCCAGCATATAGAACCTCCACGTTAACGAGGAGCTACCGTCTCATCAGAGGAGGTCTTTACTAACCGTGTCTTCCTTGTCATTCCAGGCCCAACCGTTTGCTGATTCTCCATGGATTCCTAGATGAGAATGTGCACTTTTTCCACACTAATTTCCTGGTGTCACAGATAATCCGTGCTGGGAAACCGTACCAGCTTCAGGTTGGTACCGGAGGAGGCTTGTTTCTTGCATCCTAATAGCAGGTTTACACTCCACAAGCTGCACATGGACGCAATATCCCTGTTGTTTGTTTTTTTTTTCTTTAATATTCATGTTTTTTATTCTATATTCTATTTTTTTTCTATTTGTCATCCTTTAGTCGTGTAAATACCCCCACACACACATTTTTATACTATGTCGTGCACTTTTTGCCCCGGTGTTTTGCCTACCAGAGCTGCTAACTCTAGTGCTGTTGTGCTTTCTTGTACAATGACAATAAAGAGATTCTGATTAATGTCTGTTTAACCCTTATGGTGAATGCATTTGGTAAAGTAGCTCCAACTGCTGTGACATTTAACGGTATTTATATCCATTTACGTCCATTAACAGCATACATCTGGAGGTTTAAGTCAGATGAAGATGTTTTGCAAAGCAGCTTTTATTAGCTACGTACACTAAATGCACTTGTAATAATTCCTAAACTGAGTCTTCTGTCTTGTCTATCTTGCTCTTGCAGGTGTACCCCAACGAGCGGCACAGTATTCGCTGCCCTGAGTCTGGAGAGCACTACGAGATAATGCTGCTGCACTTTCTACAACAATACCTCTGAAACGAGACAACAGGGGAGAAGTGAAGTCCAGTTCCCCACTGTCCTCCTGTCCCTTCCCGCCCGTCCCACACCGTCTCCAGCCCGTCATCGACACTCAGCAAACCCATGAGCCACCCTCTCCTCTGAACTCTCACTTCTCTCCGCTATACCTTCCTCTCTCTCGCTCTCTGTCTTGTTCTGTTCCTCGCTCTGTCTCCTCCTCCCCTCCCCCTGCCGTGTACAGTCTGGGGTTTGGTTTACGAGCACAGAGATTTGGTGTCTCACCCTGAAAGCTGAACAAAGACAAGGACATACGGAGAAGTGTTTGCAGGCTGTGTCACATTGACTCATCGCTCACCCACGTCCTCATCTCCACACCGTCATGGGTTTTTGCCAAACGTTATCGTGTTGTTTAGTTCCCCCCCTGCTCCACCTGTTCTGTTTGTTTCAGCCAGTGGTAGGAACGGGGTCACGGTTCACGGATAAGAAAACGGAATCTATACACGTCTTTTGCAGACATGAGCTCTCGCAGCACTACATGTGTACAATACAGCTGATCTCCTGCACCCACGCAGACACGCCCACAGAGCGGCGATGTCCACACGTACTGCAGTTAGTGTGTTCATGAAGAAAGGAAGAAGGTCGCGGCTCTTCCTCTGTCCACTCGTTTTAAGTGTGTTGTTTAAAGTAAGATATTTTTATGGATTTTATTCTTTTTTTCTTTTTTTAAATGAGCGCCGTTGGAAGCCGCTCGTCGACGTGTCGGCGCCGTTTTTCTCCCCTCACATCACATCGCTCGAGATGTCTGCTTGCCTTCTTAACACATAATTTATATTTGCCAAAGTACCTCTTGACTCTTGATCTTGCTGGTATTTCCTTTTTTTACTGCAATAAAGACAACAGGAGGGTGAGCACTGGAGTCTTACAACAGCTTTGTACCACCGAAATACAATTTGTACATGATAATAAATAAATGTATGAATCAGTCACACGCTCTTCTTCGCCGCCGTCTGTTAACTGAGGAGCTGCAGCTTCTTGTCGTGTTTCCTGTTTGCAACCAGGCCGTCTTGGTGGCAAACATCTCAAGTGTTTTCCTGCTGACACTCAGAGCCTCGTGTCCTCCTCTTCACCGTCAGAGCCGACCCAACCTCCTCCACGGCTACGAGTGCTCTCAGGCTCTCCAGAGCCCGAAGCCGCAGGTGCTCGTCGGTCCTTCTGCCCCCTAACTGTGTGAGCAGCACTGTTGCTATGGCAACCTTTTTACAGTATAGGTGAGTGATGCTGCCTCACCTTGATCTGATAGCGCCGCGGGGATGATGGTACTTTAACTGCCATCAACAAACAGGCCACTGCAGTGCTGGATGTTGGGAATCACGCTTCTCTGCAGATAAGATCCATTTCTGTAAAATAAATACGAAGCTGCAGATGAGAAACCAGTAAACTCTGGATAAATCTAGCCGTCCCAGGTTTGTCTGGAGGTGATGAAATCTACCTACCAGCACTTCTAAAGGTCATTGATTAGCATCTTTTATCTTTTCTCTAAATGAGAAACAGCAACTTGTAGTTTTATCCAGGGTTGACGCTGCAGCGCTGCTCCTGAAAACGTCCACCGCAGGACCGCTAAGAAAACTACAACTCCTCATTTTTAGTCTTCAGGTTTTTCCAACTGATCTTTAAAGGTGCAGCACGACAGCTGTTCCTCTGTGTTCATGCAAAGCTCACATTGATTGATTTTAATCCTTCATTCAACAATTTCCCTGAGGTTCTACCAAAGGGATCAATAAAGATCTATCTATCTATCTATCTATCTGTCTATCTGTCTATCTGTCTATCTGTCTGTCTGTCTGTCTGTCTGTCTGTCTGTCTGTCTGTCTGTCATACAAGAATAAATAAACGCGTGTATACAAATGGCTAGAAACAGGAACAGAAGTGATAATAATTAACCGCAATAACTAGTAATTACCTACAAATGTGCCAAAAAGATTACAAAGTGTTTCATACATGAAGGAAAAGCAGAAAAATCAGGCACAAATAAAAACACGTTTGCATTCACAAATAATAAAAGTCAAGCCTGTGTTGTCATTAATATTCACAGAACTGACTCTCTGTGAAAATATTTTACTTTTCAAGCAAATCATGTTTTTGAGTTTTAGCGAATTAACAAACAAATTCCCCTCGTTTACAGAGTCCATCTCAAACAGTGCGTAAGAGCAGGTGTTTATTCAGCTAAATTAAACTTAGTTTAAAGCCCGATTCATTTAAATGACAAACTCATCTGGTGGGATATTTTTAAGAAAAGCAGCTGTGACATGAAAGTACTGATGACCGCTGACAGTCGCAAAGCAGTTTTAAAAACAGATTTGTTGTAGAAATCAGGGATTCCCATCTTACTTTGTGTGGAGCCATTTTGCAGAATCGGTGCTCCAACCGCCCCTCCATGCTGAATGTGAGCTCTGACCCTCTGGCAAGAGAGTTAGATGCCAGAGGCTCGATCCAAACTCCTTGATAACACCAGCCATTGCTGTGCTGAAGTCAGATTTTGGAGGATGACAGCGTTTGTTTCGTCTGCTGTTGTGTGCTGTCCGTTGTAGCGTGGTGTCTGGATGTGATCGGCTGTGATTTCTGTGTTTTCTGTGTTTATCTGCTTCTTGCCTTCAGAGCAAGTTTCCCTCAAAGTCAAATGACAGGAGGCCAATAATTTTATATTTCAATTCAAATCAACTTCTTTTTTTTGGAATCATTTAAATACAAATTATGAACATCCAATGGACACTATTGGACATCCATCCATCCATTATCTACATGTATACACCGCTTAACCCTCACTAGGGTGGTGGGGGGCTGAGTCTATCCCAGCTGACTCAGGGTGAAGGCAGGTTCACCTGGACAGGTAACCAGTCTATCACAGGGCTACACTTAGAGACAGACAACCAAGCACACTCACATTCACACCTACGGACAATTTAGAATCACCAATTAACCTCAGCATGTTTCTGGACTGTGGGAGGAAGCCGGAGAACCCAGAGAGAACCCACGCTGCACGGGGAGAACATGGAGACTCCACGCAGAAAGATCCCGGGTGTCCTCACCGGGACGCCAACCGGAGACCTTCTAGCTGCGAGGCAACAGTGCTACCAACTGCGCCACCCTGCAGTACTGCTGGACATTTAACATATAAATAGACAGTAAAACTCCTGGTGTGAGTCAGTTTGTTGTCATTGTGAAACAGCAGAGCAGTGGCAGACCAGCGTCCAATCACAGCCTGATTTGGCTCCATTTAAATCATCCACTGTGTGGCAGCCGGGCGTCAGCTTTCCCTGACTCCACCGTGACCCAGAAGACAGAGGTCGGCCCAGAGCATCCTCCACCAGATCAGCTGTCACAGAGACTGATCTGGAACCAGCTGTGGGAGGATCACTACGGGTGAAGCACATTAACGGTAAGCCTGACAAGGGTGGAGAAAGTGGTGAAAATTAAAGCTGACATCCTGACGCTGACCAAGTCTGCTAGCAGGTGATGTGAGTAAGCTGCTGATGCCTGAAAGATCGGCCACGTGTGGCTGAGCGGACGGCTTCGGCTCTGCTGGAGGCGTTCAGGCCTGCTGTGGCTGCTCTGAATAGTCAAGGCGTTCACTCAATTCAGAGGATTATTTTACAAATCTAAAATACGTCAGTGGATTTTGTTCTCAGTCAAAGATCAACATTTGTCTTATTAGGAACATTTTTTGAATAGTTTGAAATGTCCTCTCTGTTGAACTAAACAAATATATTCTGATTCATGTGCCAGGAACTGCAAACAAAGGAGGCAGCTGTAGCATTTTTAACTTCAGGCTAATTCTCCTGCATTAGCAACATTAAAAAAGGTCTTATTTTCTTTATATTATTATTTTGGTCTTATTTTGTGAAGTTTTTTTCTTCTTCTCTGCAGATTTATCGATCCTTTCTAAGTGGCACATAATAGAGACAAAACACAAACACACAAATATTCAGTTTAAATCAGTTTTATTGGCTCATTATGGCCAAAAATTGTTATTTTCTCTTAAAAAAACAAAACAAGAACAATATAAATTACAAACAGGAAGCAGCAGAAATATATATATATATTGATTCTTTACAGCATTTAAATAAGAAAAAGGGACATCTACAACAACAAACTCAAGTCAAACGGACACAGACAACATCACAGCGGTGGGTTGTATATCTGAAAACAGACGACATTCCTTCAAATACTATGTACAGAACAATGCCTCTCATCTCAAAGGGAGTCAATATGACTTAATATCATTGGAATCTCCACTGAGGAACTGAAAATCAGTGAAGAATGTTGTTTTGTTTTTTACTGTGATTCAGATTTTCAGGCAGAATATACAGAATATTGTAGAAAAGGCTGGAATGGTCTCGTCTCAGTGTTCACACAGCTTCTGCATCGTAATCCTAGTTTACAGCCAAGGAACTTTACATAACGCTAATCTGGCCATGTGGAAAATGACTCTTTGTTTTAATTAAAGTCACCATTTGGTCCGTTGGGTTTCAGCAGGATTGCCTAATCGGCCTGTGTTTCTTTTCCTACCAGCTCCTGAGCCGACAGTCCTGTTTACTGGCTACAGAACCACAGTCAGCCCGACAACAACCCGCGTACACAACTGACACCTCATGTCTGCTGAGGAGTCTGGACTTGTTGGAGATGCTTTGCGTCTTACGGCGCGGCGGGCATGCCGAGGCTCGCTCTGTGACACGCTGCTGCTGCCTCATGCCAACAGAAGGAAGCTGCAATGGTACAACACTTAAAAAACTTTCCATTGCATGTTCATGTCTTTTTTTCTTTTTCCGTCTGCGGCTTCAGATGCGGGCAGGAATCTGCTCGTCCTTCAGAGGACAGAGCAGTGGAAACTCATCTAGAGTGAGTTGTTTTTTCTTTGCCTCTGTTTGAGGGCCTTGGTTCTGGTATGAAATCTTCCTCACAGGAAGACGACGACCAAGGAAACGGAAAGCTCTACCACATCAACGTTCATCAAAGAAAGAAAAGTCCAACATCTACTTCTTCTTTCTCCCCTTTTGTCTCGACTCTTTCTCTTTGTCGTCTTTATGACTTGCTCACGATGGCAGCGGGAGCGATCATGATTTTGCTTGACTTCAGGGGGTAGTACCGGCCCCTCCAGGTCTTCCAGAAGATGCCTTGCTTCCTCTGGTGCCGCTGCTTGGGAGGAGGGCTCTGGAAGAATCTGCCGTTTAGGTTGGAGCGACCACAGTTGCTGAACCACCAGCCACCTGCAGAGAACCCAGGACAACATTAGATCAGCTGCTGCGTTGTTATCAGGCTACATCACAAGCTGGTATATGGAGAGCTTCATCACTCACCAGAGAGGTGTTTGGCACAGTTAGTGTCGGTTTTCTGGTCATTGTCCTGATCCCGGGTGGAGAAAGGCAGAGCGGAGGTGGCGTCGGTTCCCAGTGAGCTCTCCAGAGGACTGAAGGTGCCGGTCTCCTGGATCTGGAGCGAGTACTTGGTTTCCTCTCCGCCCAGTCGGAACGGGAGGCAGACGGTCGCCAAGTCGTTGTTCCAGTCGGAGAGCTTGATATTGAGCACGTAGCCGCCATCTTTAGCGATACCGTGGATCTTCTCCAGACCCAGCCAGAACTCTCCTAGAGAAGGAAAAAAAGGGAGAAGCAGCAGTGAGAAAACTATGCAGAGCTGACAAACTGGACTTCTGCTCGCCTTCAATCCATTTCAGGCTTATCGGCGATAAGATGCTTTAGGAGGAGGATCTCCTCTCCTGTCCTCTGATGCAGTGATAGTAGAAGACCATAAAGCTGCGAGAGCTAATCTGACCTGAGCTAACACCTGTCCACGCTAGTGAGAGTGAGATGAAACTCCAAAGAGCATTTACCATTCAGGCTTCCAAATCCTTTTTGGTAGGCCGACCATAGCTGGTCAAAGTCCACTGAACCGTCTTGGCGATTCTGGATCACCGTCCATCCACCATCTGGACAGAGAACCAGAGAGAAGCTGATCAGACAGCAGTTCATCAGACATAACAGCAGCTTCAAAACGGGAAAGAAAAAAAAACCTCCACTTACCAGCTGTCATCTCACAGAAGACATCGAAGGGCTCTGAGCTCCCGGGCTGGATGGTGTAGACCCCGCTGGTGGTCTCTCCTCTCAGGAACAGCTCATGGCAGTCTGACGCGATCTCTGGAAGAAGAAGGAAAAAACAGCATGAAGACAAAGAGCTCAGACGGGATGCATTGAACAGATGTTTTTCTTCAGATTTCATCTCCTGAACAGCTACAGAAGACAGTAATGAAGCTTTAACCAGAGGAATCCAACAAGTCAGGATCATCTCAGCCAGTTCAGGACATTGTTTTGTGCTGTGGGTGATTTAAACGTGTTCAGTCTGCCCAGCTTTCATAAGTAGGTCATTCTCTGTATGGGAACCTCAGCAACAGGTTTCTGTGTGCTGCCAGAGCCGAGTGTTTGCAAATAAGCCTCTGAACGGGGGAGAACCAGAGCTTATCACTGCGCCTGGAGATACGAGCGTGTAGCTGATAGAGCCTCTGACCCGACAACACAGAGCCACTGACGGCTGCTTTCTCCGCTATAAATACGACCTTTCTCCCAGTTCCCAAGCAGACGTCGCTCCTCACAGCTGCTCGGCCTCGCGGCCCTATTGACTTACTGCTACCCTTTACATTCCTCTGCCCCCCTCGTCTCCCCTCCCTCACCTCCCCTCCAGGCGTATCACACCTCCCTCACGTGCACAGCAGCCAGTCGGTGACGGAGGCGTGCATGGCCAGCGCATGGCTGCTGCATGGCTACTGCATGGCTGCTGTGTGCACAAGGGAGTGATGGAGGGGTGGTGGGGAGGTGTGAGGGGGGGCTTGTTGTTGTAAAGAGGTGGGGTGGGGGGTCTCCGGAGCTGACCGGATCCGTCATGTGCCCGATGAGGCACGAGACTAATATCCACAATAACCCTTCATATGAATGACTTGATGCCATTTAATCCTTTCTCATACGTTTTATTAATGAATCTGTCGACCTTGTGGTTCATGTTTTGATTCGGTTGGTTGCTGTTTTCTGGATATTCGCCGGCTCATTGTTTCGTTCTGAGCTCGTCAGCTGATCGACAAAACCCTGTTTGTGTGTGTTGACCTTTCCTCCAGAGGAATGAACTCCTGGTGGCTCGTTGTGGCTGCGCTCAGCCTCAGGGTCAGGGGTTCTCCTGAACTTTGGCACACTTCCTATTCACTACAATGGGAGAGAAGGAGGAGATGGAGGGAGGAGGTTCACGCACAGGGATGGGGGAGGAGAAGATGACCCAACCGGAGGAGGGAGGAGGGATGTCTGACTGACAGATCTAGGGGAAAGGTTGCTCATTCTTCAGGGATGTACAAATGTTTGTTTTACACCAAAAGGTGGGGCGTCGTGAGAAGAAGGGAGGAGGCGAGCGTCTTCAAAACATTGGAGGATATCTGTACAGAGTTCACAGATAATTTTAGACTGCCTTTCCTCATTTTCCCCTCATGTTTTCTTATGTTTTAGTCTTGGCTCAGGCACAAGGGCGGTAATCTGAGGAGCGCTGCCTGCGAGATGTACCAAAGCGCCTCCATCCCTCCACCACATCAGAGACCATCAGAGCGTAATCCTGCTGAGCTGTGTGACCCTGACTGAGACCAGTGAACCTTCCCCCAGTTGAAACCTCGCCAAGGAAACTTTTTCCTCATTCCTCAAATCCTGCTGATGTCAGAGCTTTGAGGTATTATTGTGATTTGTACTGGCTGACTGAACTCAACTCCAGCCTCAGTTGTATTCACCTTTCCCCCAGTTCTCATCCATGTTCGGCAGAAACAGAGCTTCGGCTTTAAATCTAAACTCTTTTTCTAATTGTATTCACGGATAATCCTTATATTCTACTTAATGTATGCAGATTTATGTCTGAATTCCTCTCTGTCTGCCTTTATTCTCTCTCGGGACTGAAGTGACAGTGTCCTCTTCCATCCAGCCCAGTCTGGATGAAAGCAGCTCATTCATGCTGGTCCAGTCAGTCCTGGTCAGTTGGGAGCAGCAGCTGCTTGGTTTGGCTGCACACTGAGAGCATCATTTACTGCCTCTTACAATTACTGTAAGCCCCAGCATGAGGGGAAGTGACTAAACTGAGACTTACTGCTTTGACTGCTCCAGTAGGAGCCCATTGGTTCCTCTGTGCTGATTGTCCCACATTAAGTAAAGTTCTGAACGTTGTAGTTGAAAGCTGAGAAAATCTGAATTTATACTTCGATGGAACTCAGTTAGTTTTGCCATGCCACTGTGTTAATGCTATCCTGTTTTAAATGAGCTGCAACACGAGGATTTTAGAGGATGAAAACCCTTGCAGGAAGTCCACCTGTTGCGTTTTCTTCCCGCTGAGCGCAGAAGCGTGTCCCGCATCGATTAGGTCCCTTGATTTTAATTGCTCGTGATTTAAGCTTCTTTCTGGCCTTACTAAACAGATGGTCTGCCACATTCGGCGTCAGATTTTGTCCAGTCGACTTAAGACAGTGTCAGGAGGGGATTTTGGACGCTCTTTGGCTTTACTTACCGACTGGAGAGTCGCGCTGCTCCGCGTCTCCACCTCGCACGGAGCCGTCAGTGCTGCTGCTCCGCGGGGAGGGTCTCTGTCTGGACTGCTGGATCTGCAAAAGTTTCAAATCAGTGATAAGATTGCAGAAAGTATAACACAATAATAAAAAAAAATCTATCGTGATATATTTCTCTGATAGCTTGCGCGCAGATTTCGTGCGTAAAAGCGACGCCTCCTCACCTGGCTCTGCAGGGTTCTGATGCGCACGTTCTGCTTGTCGAGCTTCTCCTGTTGGAGTCTGATGCGGTCCATCAGATCATCGATGCGTCTGTTCTGAGCCTCCAGCATGAGCTGACGGAGAAATAACACGCATTTTTAGCATTTTGTCACCTTCACCGGACTGTGGATCTGCGCGTAAAATGCGCTCATGGCACCAAATAAGAATGAGCACAACAAAACTGGCTACCTGCGGGGTTTATTTGAAAAGCCTGAGACACGCTCTGCACACACAAATTGGCTTTTCAAAGACAAGCGTTTGTCCTCTCCAGCGGGCTGTGGTGTGGTTATGTAACCGCCTCACAGCGCGGGATTTTCCATCCCACTATAAAACCTTTCATCCTCACTCGGTGCTTTGCAACACAGAGCTTGCAAAAGAAAGCCCAACTTTGGTGAGGCCCTTCAGCTGTGTCAGATGGTTTTCCAGCTCGCTCTGTCCAGGTTGTAAAACGTGACAGCTGCGAAAAATTATTCACACATTCTTGCAGCTGATGTTCCCTGTTGCCTTTGTCTGGCAGTCCTCAGTGTTCCTCTGCACGTACTGCACGCTCTGCCTGCAGGCTCGTTAACCAACCCCCCTCCACTCCACCTGCCTCCCACTGCTTGAACTGTGCATTTTGATTTAGTGCCTTTAAGCCTACAGAAAAAGCCCCACCATAAAAGCCAGGCGTACTGTAAATCCTCTGCCTCCAGGAGTCCCTTTAACAGAAGCACTTTGTGTTTTGTGGGGCTGTGAGTACAGCAGACACTTCAAAGCCTCATTTAGCTGATTTTCCTCCCAGATTGACTCACATCATCCTAAACAAATGATCATCATCAACCCGCACACTGCTCCACTCACCTGGATGTTGTGAGCATCACTGTTGTTCTTGGCACCGGTGTTCCCATCAGGCAGCACCGTGTCTCCCTGCAGCATGCTGTCCACCCTCTCCTCCAGCCGGCTCACTCTTTCATTCATCGTCCTCCTCTCCTGCTGCATCTCCTCAGCCTTCTCCCTCAGCTCGGCCGTGACATTCAGCAGCTGCCCTTCTCTGTCCTCCAGCCCCTGAGCCCGAGCCTTCAGGGCCTCCCCTTCGGCTCGCAGCCTCTGGCTTTCCTTCCCCAGCTCGGCCACGGTGCGATTGAATACTTTCAGCTTGGTGAACACGTCCCTCATCTGGACTTTGGTTTTGTCCACGTGCTCCTTCAGGCCCTGGCCCAGCTGCAGCAGGCCATGGGCGATGACATTAACGTCGTCCCACGCTGCGCTCTGGACACGCTTCTCTTTGGCAGCACCGGCGGCGGGTGAAGTCCCTTTCCGCTCAAAAGGGAAACCTGTGGCCATGAGCACCACCAGGCACAGAGTGAGAGTCGCCAGTGTTATCTTCATAGCTGCTGTTGTCCCAAACTGACCGAAAGCTTGCTTTAAAATGTGTGGTTCCTTGTTGCACCGGTGTGTAGCGTCCTGCTAAGTCTCCTTGACTAGTATCAGAGCTCAGGCTCCTGGAGGAACAGGCTCAGCTCTACTATTATATACTTTCACAGCCCCGGAGCCGCCTGCCATTGGCCAGCCGAGCAGAGGGAGGGGTGCAGCTCCTCTCAGGTTTCCGTCCCTCCTCCACCTCTCTGTTAACTATTCATGTCAGAGGCGGAGGAGGGACGTGATATAACAAAAAGACTCGTTTCATCCGTGCTCACCAGGAATCACATTATCTGCTGCTGGAAACTGAACAGCAGCCTGAAACAAATCTGTTCCCTACGATTGTTTAAGTAGATGAAATATGTGTGATAGTTCTGAATAGACAAGATGATCCATTCATCGGTACAGGAACATTCTGACATCAGCTGATAGTGGTATCAGAAGACAGATTCAAGCTTCTGCTCTCAGATGAGGGTTGTTTGGAGAGTTCATTAACAACAGATGTTAATGCAACCTTTATGTTTTAAATGTCAGACAGTACAGACGACTGTAAATGAGGATGATTTAAAGTGCAGAAGTGCTGACTTATGAAGCACCACATGCGTTTATAGGCTGTCCTGTATGGAGACCACACACCGTGGTGCCGGTGGAAGATGAAGCCCAAACCTCTACGGAGCCGACTCACCTGAGGGCAGAGTTTGAGCCTCTCGCTTATTTCATTCAATCATAAAGTTTCTCATAACCTCGTTTCATTGATCCAAACTTGCTGCCACTCATTCTGTTACTTCAGGGTCTCTATCTGCTCTCCTGGCCTGTTTGGATCATCATTCTGATTGATAAGAAGGTAAACTGGTTTTAGAACATTCTGTCTTTTATAGATCAGCAGGATTCGAGTTTGTATTTTGAAGGAAGACACTCCGTAAAAGTCAGATTTTATTCCCACAGGATTGAAAAAGAATTCAAGTAAAGTTAAACAATAAAGCACACAACAAGGCGTAACAGTGGATGACGTCAGCGTAAAACTGTTCAGCTTGAAATGAAGGGAAAAAAAAGAGATCATTTCTTGACTCCATTGTTCTTCCTAATTTTCTCTTGAACCTGAGTCATGGATGTTATCATATGAGACCACTGGAGCTGCAACTAAAGCTGTTTTCATCATTAATAGATCTGATTATTTTCTCCATTTGTTGATCAAACAGTTAATCTTCTTTTTTTCTAAATGTCCCAAAACAAATCAGTTTTTCTCAGAGTCGGGGCAGATGTCTTTAAAGAGCTCATGTTTGTCTCTAAAAAGCACCAAACTTTAATTTCCAATAATATAAAACAGAAAACTGGTAAATTCTCACATTCACAAAGCTGTAACCAGAGAATGAAAGCAGTTGTTAGATGTTCATGTCATCAGCTGCTGATTTCAGGTCAGAACTCAGAGTGTAAAAGATTCCTGACCAACAGCTGACATGGGAACATCAGGACGGTTTAATCGTCCTCCCTGGATAGTGAGAGGCGTGGATGTCGTCAGGAGGGAACATGCGTAGATTTGGCCTGAGGTGCTCCTCTGTGAAGATCTGCTGCTGCCGGGAGGCCGCGGGACTGTGAGAATTAGGGGAAAGTTCACAGCACAGAGAATGCCCACATTACTGCCCCGAGGGCTTTTTAACAGCCTCCGCCGGGTAGCTCGCAGGCCGTACGTGATCCTGGAGCCAGACCACAAAGAAGGAGCCGGTTAACCCTCTCCTGTCTGCAGCCCAGACTAAGTGGGTGAAAGGTAACTGGGAGACTGCTGACGGTGCTGAGGTGGGAAACTCACATCCTCACGCTCACACACGACACGTCAGGAATGCAACAAACACACGTTGTTTTCCTCAAAGCCCTGGCAGCGAGGGGGGGTTTCCATTCAAAGACGGCTGTGTTCTGGTTAAAAATAGGCTTTTCTTACTCCATTTGAAGGAATCTCTTCCTTTTATTGAGCCCAATGAGGTCAAAGCAGACAGGTTTCCCTTTGTCCAGCCATGACTTACTTCCTGTCAGCTGCAGTTCAGCAGAACTACGACTGAATTAAACAGATCTTTTCATTTGATCGAGCGTCTTTGGTGTCTGTGATGGAGCAGGTAGAGCAGCATAAGGGCTACAAACACCTGCTCCACCCAGCTAGGAGAAGAACAGCTGAACCCGACGGCTGCTTGGACGGTTCTGAATAAACGCTGGCGTCCTCTGTAGAACTTGGCAGCGGACTGAGAACGATAAGAGTGCAAATGAGGAAAAGCAGGCTTTTCAAATGTTTGGCTTCGTGTGCCGGTGCCTGTGCCGTATCAGAGAACTCATACTTCTCGTAAAAGAACAGCGAGGATCCCTCTGGAGTTCAGATTTAATAGACTGGAGTCAGGAAGAGCTGGTTGTGAGCCTGACGTACAGTGTTGTGGAACATTATAGAAGATTCTCTGGGATGATTCTTCAGTTGGCAGAGCGTTTGAAAGAAATCCTGTTTTTCAGGTATTCAGATTTCATCAGCGGCGGATGAAATAATTCAGATTGATGGAGAAGTTCTGAGTGCAAATACAAAGCAGGCGAAACGTTATGTCATTTAGATGTTATGTGGATCATTTATGTTTATCAATATATTTGTATTATTAGTACAGATGCATTAACGGCGTTTTAATGTTTAACAGCACTGAGATGCTGCTGAGGAGTTTAATTTCTGCTTACGTGCTGCACATTAGTAGTTAGGAACAGATTTCCACCACAGGAATGAATCTCAGACAAGGAGAACTGGCACACTGCGTGTCCCGCTGTCAGCAGACAATACATCTGCTCCAGAACAGACTAAATAAGTGGGTTAAATAAACATTATTTCATTTGTTTAACGTCTGCCGTCGTGATTGAGGCTTTTGGGAATCTGCCTCCTCCTCTGCCGTGTGTTCCTGATCATCACCGGATCCACACCTCGCCACAGCTGCTTATCCAATTTCCCAAAATGGCCGCTCCCATCTCTCGCCGGCATGGTGACCTTTTACCCAGATTCCAAACACAGAACATCTGTAAATCCCAGAGCAGCCCCCAGATTTAAGGATGGAAAGAGAGAAGAGAGGAGGAGAAAAAAAAAAAAAACAGGTGCTGGAGGCTGCTGGGTCTGTAAACCCGGTTCCCATGGATGGACTGAGATCTGTGATCTGTTTCCATCTCTGGATATTTTATGAGGTTTTGGGGAGAAGGGTGGGGGGTTATAGTCACAGATTTTTTTCCACTTGTGTTCGCCAGAAATACATATTTGAATATATTTCAGTGGTTTTTCTCAGATAAAGGCCAATTTTGAAACAAAAGCTGGGAGCTAGAGAACATTCTGTGGTCCAGAACAATACGACTGGTCCTCCTGGATGCTCCGCTTTACTGCAAATATGTCGTCAGATCTTTGAAATATGAACACAGGACAGATTTATTATCACCGCCGCCTAGTGTGCACACCCCACGGTCCTCGTTCTCGATACCATGACATATTCATGAGGCGACCTTTACTGCACAGCGAGCAGATGGAGCTCATGACGATGAGCAACCAGGTCTGGATGTTGGGCCAGAATCGTACCTGAAGAAGAAACAGGGCTGAGATGAGGGGTTTTCTGATAGTCAGGAATGAACTTTAAGAGTTACATTTGGACTCTAATAGCATGAAAGGTGCAGGTGTTCTTGGTACCAAGAGGACGGGCTGAGCTGCATTAGACATCCCAGTAAAGCATAACAGTGAGTCAACAATACAAGAGCTCTGAAAAACCAAATGAATCCAGTCATGATGGATGACTAAGTTATTAAAATGATCGGGGACACGTGTGCGTCTCTCGGTGACTTTTTACCAAACACACCGTGACCACACCCTCCGTCCTGCAGAGGAGGTTAGAACTGAATCATGCAAACAGATCAGAGGGAACAGAAACGTGCACATTCATAGAGATGCACCCAGAAATGATCCAGAACCAGTTTTCCCATTAAATCCTGAGACGGCAGCCAGCCAGGTGAAACACACTACTGCCTCCCAGTGGTCCAACACAGGAGCTCATCACATGTCATCTGTTCAGCCGTGACTGGTGCTCGTTCATCCACAGGAGGCCACTGATCTGTTACCCTGGGAGCTTCGTACACACTGACAGAAAATGAGAACTTGCAGCTTTCTTTCTTCTGTCCTGAGAGACGAGGTGGGGCTTGTTTCACGTCTGGTTTGGTTCATTGAAAACAGGCCTCGGGCAGGCCGGGCCGCTCAGAGGATATGAGAGATTTCCTGAGAGGAGCCCGACATGCTGTCCTGCACCCGGCACGTTTCCTTCACGTCCCACACAAATGCCTGCCTTCTGCCTCATTCTGTGACCTTTAAATACTTGAATCCCTCGGCTGGTTAAGTCAGTTTGTTCTCTTTGCGACGTCAACACGTTGTGGAAGAGGAGGCGCTGCTTGGTTGCTCTGCTCTTGTTTGTGCAGCTGACCACAGACTCAGACTTCCTTCATGCATGTATCTACACACGTATCTCCTTTTACATTCCTCACATCTCCTGCTCATCTTACACATGCACAGACATGTGCTGCAGGATGCCAATGAACGTCTTCTCGCTGCTACGAGATACTTTAACTTCTCAGATTGGTCGTAACCAGCAGACTCCTGCTGGTGGGCGACCCAGATACATCTCGACTCCCGCCGTATGCTTCTGCCTGCTCCAGGACTGAATGAGCGTCCCAGCTGGCAGGAAGCAGGAAAGTACAGAATGTACATGTATTCCAGTTGGGAAAATATAAATACGTATAGGCTGCGGTTGACCTCAGCAGCTGTCTATGCTGTTAGCTCCTCATGGAGCTGGAGCTCTACAGTGGTTCTTCAGTGCTTCAGTGTCAGACTTTGTGCTGTGAACCAACAAACGCTGCCCTTGTAAGAATGCGAACCACGTTAGATCCGATCCTCGGGCTACAGTCAGCGTCGGCATATGAAGAAAAACAACCTCACACAGACGTTTCATATCTGGACAGAGGGGCGACAGATTGCACAGAGAATCCCAGACGTCTCTGCCCTCTGGCCTCAGGCCTTCTCTTCCCCTGGACAGGAAA